GTGAGGTGTCCCTGCCCATGGGCAGGGGTGTTGGAAGTAGGTGATCTTAAGGTCCTTTCCACCCGTAACTATTCTATGATTCTAAGAAACACCTTTTATAAGAGAGTTACCTCAAATTATGATGCAAAGTGAGCTTTTCTCTTGAAATATGCTATCATTCTTTTCCCATTCTTTGAATATTTTCCCCATTTGTGGTCTGAACTTCAACAGTGATCACCAGGAATAAAACTACTTCAGAATTACAGTATTATTCAGTACTTTGAAGTTTTTAGCTCTCCTATTTAATCACTAATTTCAGGTTGCATGTAAGTGTATTATTCCTGCAGGATATTAGGCCAGTCACTGGAAGTGGTGAGCCATTTCTCTTGTGTTAATAATTTTAGCTTGAGATCCTTTAGAATTGCATAAAGGACTTAGATGTACATTTATATGAATACTGCAGAAAATCAGGCAAAAGTGAATTGCTTTTCGTAATGTTTCAGAATTTATTCAGTAAATGCCTTATTTTAAAATATACGTGTTGAGTGCAGGTGAATTTTTCAGCAGCGCCCACTGGAGCAGACACCCGTTTCTCTATGCAGTTTTTAGCATTTAATTCGGTATTTTAACAGTGTTTAATCACACAGCAACGCTGTGTTTTGATTTCTAACTTCTAAACGGCTTGCATTCCCGCACTTCACCACTAGAGGACTACTCTTCGTAGTCTTAATTTACTCCTCGTTCGGTACTAACGACACCCAGACTTCAGTGGAGTGGCTTTGTCACACGTTGACTGGGCTGCTTATTAACGGGGCCCACTTTCGTTATTTCTTGTGGGAGCTACACCCCCCAAAAAAACCCCCAGCCTTACATTTTTGAACTAAGGACTTGTGTAGATCTATCTCTGGCCTTATGTGACTTCTGAGAGTTAGGTCGTTCTTCCAGCTACAGAGCTGGACCACAGATGTGCTGGGGCTGTAAGAACTTGGTCTGTGATACAGAGTCACAAATCATTGTTTTGCCCAGGGAAGCTGTGGCTTCCCCATCCCTGGCAGTGTTCAAGGACAAGTTGGAGGGGGCTTGGAGCAACCTGGTCTAGTGGAAGGTGTCCCTGCCCATGGCAGGGGGATTGGAACTGGATGAGCTTTAAGGTCCTTTCCATCCCAAACCATTCTGTGATTCTATGATAATACAGTTTAGCAATGTTAAAGTATTTAAAAATCTCATATGCTAAGCCAGTGACCACTAGGTTTGTAGTCAGAATAGTCTGATCCATCAAAGTTTATTCTAGGTATGCTGCTTGAGGGTGGAATTTGAGTCTATTTCTTTTTAAACACAATAAGATAGAATTGTTTTTTTTTGCTGCTTTGCTACAGTTGGGAACAAGAGCCCAGTCAGAGAGAATCCGTACTTACAACTTCACCCAGGACAGAGTCACTGACCACAGGATCTCATATGATGCACGTAATATCAAGGTAATGGTTGCTTATGGGAGTATTTAAAGTTACTTATCTGTACCACAGGAAGAAATTAACTTACTGAAAACAATACAGTCTGAATGAGGAAATCGAGATAGCCAGTTGTGCTCTGTCAGAACAGATTTAGAAAGCTGAAACTTTCTTTCCTGCCTGATTGTGCAGTGCTGTTAAAGATATTTGGCACAGGATATAGCTTGCTGGCCTACTTGTAGCACTCAGTCAACTCCCTGAGTCCCTCAGCCAAACTGGCAAGTGACATTTGGGATGCTTGAAGCTTAGTACATCCGCAAGAAAAACTTGACACCAAGGACTTCTTTTTTTGTTAAGCCAGTCTTTCCTCCTCCTAATGCTGGAGTGAAGAAAAACTTCTATACTTGCCTCACAGGCCAGTCAAATGAAAGAGAAACCAAATACTTTCATTTTAAGATTGCCTGAGGTCTTATTTCTCAGTAAATCTCTGCATACGGCTTGAATCTTGATTATTTATTGTTGTTTTACAGGGAAACAAATATGTAGTAATGCGTTTTTGTGTATTAAATTTATGAAAATGGTTTGAATTTTAGGACAAAGTTTAGGGTGACCCTTCAATGTTTGGCTTGGGTATCCAGTTCACTGTAAATGCTGTTACATAAGGATCCACGCCTTTCGAATTGTACCCAGAGGTGTCCTGGGTAATTTCAGGGAACACAGGGCGTGCTGAATATGGAATGGTTTGTGTTCAGTGGAGCGGGGAATAGGTACACAGATACCATGGTGGAGGAGAATGGGAAGAAGTTTTAGTATTTAGATGAGACATGAGGAAGAAATTTGCTGTGAGGGTGGTGAGGCACTGGCACAGGTTGCCCAGAGAGGCTGTGGCTGCCCCATCCCTGGCAGTGTTCAAGGCCAGGTTGGACGGGACTTGGAGCACCCTGGTCTAGTGGAAGGTGTCCCTGCCCATGGCAGGGGGAGTTGGAACTAGCTGCTGTCTAAGGTTCCTTCCAACCCAAACCGTTCTATCATTCTGTGGTTCTGTGAGTTCCACAATCACATAAAACCAGCTTTCATTAGTTGAACTTTTCAGTTACTTAGTGTTGGGAACTTGTTACTTTCTTGAGTGAAACTGGAACCATAAACTGCCTGACAAAAGTTAGCTGGGCTCTGCTTGCAAAACAAACTAGATCTTGGCATGAGCAATCTATATTTGACTTGGGTTCTTCAACCCTCTATTGCTCTTGCCTAGGGGATTTGCATGTAAACGCATGGGTTACATGAAAGCGTGGCAGGAATGCACCAGCAGCTCCTTTTGTTGCTGCTGGAATCAGTGTGCTGCTCACAGGCAGCCAGCTGAAGTTCCACTGCTGTGCACCATGGCATGTTGCATTCACACAGGGGGAGTGCAGAGGTGAGCAAACGAATGCGTCAAGATAAAGACTCCAGGCAAAGTGCATTCCAGGAGCTCCTTGTCTGAGTCTTGGGCAATTTGGAATTATACTGATGTACAGTCAGTAATGCTTTTGCCAGGTTTTGTTGTTTTTTTTTTTTTTCATAGGAAATTCTAAATGGGAAAGAAGCACTGGATAAGCTCATCAACAGACTGCTGGAGTTTGCAGAGATGGAGGCTGTCACTGAGTATCTAGAAAGTTTGCAGGCTGTGGAAGGAGGAGGCTGCTGAAGGCCTTGCATGGAGATAGAGCAGAAATGTTGTGTTCGGTAGGAAAATAGATGCATTTGTTAAATAAATCTATGCTTCTGTTTTTCAGGGTGTGGTGCTATTCTTTTATACTTGGGTGCAAATGGATTGAATTCATTTCAGCAGTCCTTGCAGAAAAGAACAAGCTTGGGGTACTGTGTGCGAATACTGTCTGTCTTGGCAGCATGGCTCTGTTAAGCTGGACCTCCTGACATATTACAGCTGGAAAGACACAGAATTGTGGTGATGGAGCAGAATACCACACAGTGCATGTTTTGGAGGTGGCAAATGTTCCTCTCCAGGTGAAAGAACCTCAGCTCCCTAGACAGTCTAGAATCTGGCCTTCCCTTCAAAATAAGCCTGTGTTATGATGCTTTAATTTTTAGAGTGAATATACAAAAGCAAAGGCAGCAGTTTTGAGGCCTGTCAGCTTGCTTCTAGCCACTCTTGGGTCAGCTTAGGATGGGACTGGACCACATGCTGCAGTGGTATGTAAAAGTAGGTGTTCTGGTTTCCAGCTGAGTTGATGAGATTCCAGGAGGAGTTCAGCAATGATAGCAGGCAGCTCCCTGCTTCTTGGCAGAGAAAAGAAGTTCACAGTGTGTTGTGTTTTAGCAAATGGGTAGCTCTGCAGTTCAATTTCTGCCTTGATGACTTTGGGAATGTGGCCCTATCCCTGAGGGTGATCCATCTGCTTACAGAACATTTGGACGCAGCGGTTCAAGAATACTGATGTGTTTAATGTCACATGAACTCAGAGTGCTCTGCTGAACTGGGCTGACTTGCTACAACACTGTGTTTTTTATCCTGCTCCTCCCAGGTTTTGCTATAAAGCTGCTCCTCTGTACAAGCTTTTGCATGTGAAGAATCAGTTGTTATTATTTAAATTAAGCCTTCTTGTTGATTTGTATTTGCACATCTGTTTTGTGATCACAAATGATACAGGACTGAGAAAATGACAGTTATTGTAAGGAAAACAATCACTTTGACACAGAGTTAATCTAAATGGTGTAGTTTTTACCACTGTATATTTAACAAACAACAGTTAACTTTATTCAGCTGTATTTAGAAAGATGGAATTTGAACCAGGAAGCAAGTAGGAAAACTATCCTCAGTTTCCCAATTCTGGAATTATTTTTCAGTTCTTTGGCATGTTTTCACATTCTTATCAGCAAGTTTTGTCTGGCAGTTTCTGACTTGCTCCCAACACTTTTAATTATGAAAGGTCTTGGGTTTGCTTGGGCTTCTTTCAAATGTATAGCCCTGTGAGTCAATTGGGAAACATCACCACACAGTTTATGAGTCATTGGGACACTTGAACTTTGAATTCTTACAGTAAGCAGTTCAGAAATAAAACCTGCAGGAAGATCTGCAGCTCAGCTTCTACTAAAGGCAGTAACAGAAATGCTGTGAACTAGTTTATGTGCATTCCCCACCTTTTAAAAGTGCAGATCCTTGACTCTCAGGGCATCACCCATCAACCTTAGAGGAGCACGTATGAGGACTACTGAATGACAATCTGTTACCATCAGAAGGTTTATCCATTCAGCTATATTTGGAATGTTGTTTCAACAAACGTCACCTGAACTCTGGTAAGAATTGTAAAATTAACAGTTTTAACTTGGGTCATTTGTTACTTGTAATTGATGCGCAGAACAAACCCATTTCCAGTAAGTGCTGAACGTGCTACTGGAAGGCACCAGACACTTCTATTCGTGACCACAAAATAAAGTATTTATTTTAAGAAGCATTCCCACATTTCCATCCCTGTTTTGGTTTATCTTGACCCCAGGCCCCATTTTTAACAGAACATGCACTCGTCCATCTCCCAGCTTGCCCTGACCCCCCTGAACAGATGAACAATGGTAGCAGATGGTTCAAATGAAAGCTTTATTCAGGGTCTTCATATAAACTCCACTTCAAGAGCTTGCAATATTTGTAATTGCAACTGAGAAGCTTCTAAAGAGAAACCCACTGTTTAATGTTGCAGAAGATACCTATAAACTAAACCACTAACTTCTCATTCACCTGCTCCTGTGCACTTCCCCCTCTGTAATGAAGCCATTAACATTCTCTCTCTTCAGCCCCCAGTCTGTGTAATGCTTTCTGCTGGGTTTTAACATGGGCTGTGTTTACTTCTACAGGTAAAGTCAAACCTGTGTTTGGTGACACTGTCTGAGAACCCTCTGGGGCAGATGCAGCCTTTTTCAGAATATTATTTGCAACGCTTTTTGCTCTGTAAAGAAGCTTTATATTCAAGCTATATCCCAAAACATTTCACAAAGCTCAATCTGTTTGTTTGTCACACAAACACTTCACACGACTTCTAAGTTAAATGGGCAGAAGGTAAAGAGGACTTAAGAGGTAGATACAAGAGAGACTGAAGAGGTAACAGCTGACAAAGCAGAACCAAAGGGTTGCTGCAGAAGGTACAGAGACAGCTTTTGTACCAGCCAGCACAAGGATTAAAAACCCCACAGGAAGAATGGGATCTGTCTCAGGAAGAAGGATCAGTGAGGAAATCAGAAGAGCACATGGGGTTGAAACAGCTTATGGCTGTTTGAGAGTAGATAAGGTTGTACCTCTCCAGGGCATGATGCAAACACGCAGCAGGAGCTGGGATGGGGAGACACGGTGGCCTGCATAAGACAGCATGGTGCTTCCCCAAATCCCAGTGGAGCAGAGGTGAAGTGAAGGGAGATGCTGGAGATACAGCACAGCGGTGATGTGGAGGCTTGCATAGCTGGGAATACTGGAGGAAGACTATTTGAAGAAGATAGCAATAATAAAACAAGTACTAAAAAGGGGAGGCACAACTCAAAAAGCTAATCAAGGAAACCAAGAAACATGAAAGTTTTTTACTCCCTTTCTGAGATACCAAAATTTGCACTGAAGTAACATATTTTTCAAGTGAAAAAGAAGAAAAAAGGATAAAGGACAAAAGTTTTTATACAAGCACAGGTGAATTTAACTTGGATCCATGTCATGACCAGGCTTCCCACCTTCTTAATCTGAACACTGGGACTGGATGATGCCACAGCACAGATTTTCTCTATGATAGCCAAACACAAAGCAAACTTTACACTACTGGGAAAATCTGGATTTCAATCTACAAATTCCCAGGTGGAGGGTTAAAATTTGGCTTCACCTAATGAGGAACAAGGAGTATTCTATAACCTGGGTCAAATAAGCAGGTCTCTGCACAGCTCCTGGTATAAAGAAATGCCCATCAAAGTAACAGCAATATATTGATATGCATCAACTGCATATCAAAGTATATGCAATACGTTTGCTTCTAAAAGCATCACCAGCTTTAGACAGACCCTACTATAAAAAACACACACCCCAAAGAAAAGCATCCTGTACTGCGAATCTGTCTTTAGACAGACAAGACGGGAGAGATGAGGTGAGGAAGGAAAAATACAGAACTGACTTGCTCAAACCCACACAAATGAAGCCATTGTCAGACACTGGAGTGACTCCCCTTTTCTCTCTGACTCTCCTCGTATTGCTAACAATATCCACAGCAGCCTACAAAACCAGGAGCTTGCAATAAAAGGAGGCAAGCACTTAAAAACATGCTGCATGACAGAAAATGGTTAGCGAGGAAACACAACACTTTTCCTCTGGTAGCACTGTTCTTCTCAAACAGTAAAAGGAACATTCCTTTACTGAAGGCCAGTGCAGCCGAGGCAGGATTAGCAGATGAGGAGCATAACTGTGGTAATACCTACAGGATTCCTACGGCAAATTCCAAAGGCAGAAGATTTTGCAGGGAGATAGCACAGGAGGAAGAGGGATCTGCACAGAACCCGTGTCCTGCAAAAGCAGCGTCTCCCTTAAATCTTACAAAAGTGTGTTTGTATCAGAAATACTTGGTTTAGATACACAATAAGGAAACTGAGTGACAGCACAGTGCAAAATTAAACGCTGGCTTTGGATAGATCCCATTTAATTCAACTGGCCCTTACTGTAATTTAAAGACAAAGAATGAACTCGTCTCTCCTCAAACTCAAAGGCAGTGGGGAGTGGAGAGCTCTATTTCTTTGTGAAACACAGGCTTTAGAAGTTCCATCAGCAAAAGCAAGTGTATGGTATTTAAACCAACTTTACTATCAGTGAACAAAGAGAACGTTTAGTATCTTTTCCACTAATGCTTTGGTTTGTCTATTTAACACCGTACTTGACAAAGACCTTTGCTTGATATTACAACTAGCAGCAGCTCCTCAAGGAAACAAGTTTGGAACACTTACTTTCAAATGGTTTCAAACACCTCCTTGGGCAGCTTAGTTACAGGTATCTTAAATCACTGCCAATGACCAATGTGACAAAATTTTTAAGGAAAGATGTTAATATTTTGGGAACCTCACTATAAGAGAAAAGATAAGCTCCTCACAGGATTTAAAAGTGGAGCCTACAAATAAAACTCCTATACTACTGTGCCAATAAACAATGAAATCACTTTACAGAGCTTCTAAAGAAATGTACACACTTTAGGCTTGGAGTAACAGAAATAGATGAGTACAGCAGTACAAAACAAGTTTGTAAGGAAAAAAATGATTGTGCTTGGAAGGAAAGCAGGATCAGCTGTTAATGTGGCAGCTGGCAATGGCAGAGCAGCAGAAAGAGCTGGCTGTACTGGAAAATCACAGGGTGCCAATGGCAGGCGGCATGATGCAGTCATCTGAAAGGCAAATGTGGTCTAGGGCCACATGTATCAAGAGTCGCTTCCAGTAGGCCAAGGAAGTATTAGTGACATCACCCATGGCCTTAATCTTCCTTGAACACAGAGCCCAGGCAAACTCAGGCTGGAATAGGTGAAGAGAAGCAGTGGTGGTGGAGTGCCACACAAAGACGTGTTATGCGATGCTGAAAAGACATGATGGATTCAAGAGGAGGGAAAGCTAGTTAGCTGAAGGACAATACTTGTGTAAATTGAGAGGAAATGCACATAAACTTGTTACAAACACACGGAGGCTCCAAGCTGCTGCAGTAGTGTTCAGACATAAACAAAACCTGAAAACTGCTTTTTAAATAAACCTGACAACCCCTCCTCAGCAGAAAGGACACTTCTGCTCTAGCTTGGCATGTGAGGTCTTTCATATAGAGTACTTGCTGTACATTCCTGCACGTATGCAAGAATGTATGAGAGCATCCAGCACACATCCAGCATCTCTAAATGACAATCCAGGGCTGGGTATTACAGGAAACTTTCAAATTTCTCAAAACAAACATCAGAAGAAATACAAGCAGCCAGAGAAACACACGGGGTTAAACACAATACTCAATTCTCCTCTACACATAGACAGAACAACAAAGAATAGAAAAAAAACCTTGGTGTCCTTTGTAAGACATGATAAACAGATTCTCTGTCTCACACTCCTTTCTCTGCTGATAGGATGGATTAATAGTTGTTTTCTCTGGGAAGTTTAAGCTCAAAAGTTACCAACTCCATTTTGCTGCAGCTGGACTCTGACAACTGTTTTAAGTGCACCCTTTGGTTTTGGCTATGATGCTCCTGAACAAAACACCACAAACTTTTAGAAAGAGACATATTTTTTAGTGGGTTCATGATTTGAACATTTGTGGTCCACTGTCTGACACCTGGAGAAGTAATGAGTGGAGCTGTATCCTTTCACAATGAATCCTGATCATGCTAAATGCAGAGCAATCCCACCTAGTGAAGAAATCAAACCTACAGGCCTTAAGAAAATGTCCAAGCCATCGTGGACAGTACAGCCATCAGCTCCACTTATCCATCTTCTGTTTTCTCTCTTATGGTGCTTCTTGATGAAACTTCGATACACTTAGCCCCTCTCAGCTTAGTCAGTCACTGCAACTATTCGATACACTCCTCTTACCAACAGACAAAATCCATAAACCTCAAAAAGGGTTCTACATGCTGTAGCAGGGCCAGGTCTTTGGAATGTTTTGTCACAAAAGGGACATTGTGTCATGTCAGCAAAAGAGATAAAAAAGAAAGTAAGACCAAAAAAAGAAAACTTGATGTGCAAAAAGAAGGAAAAGCTCAAGCACAGACAACAATAAAGCAAAATACAGCAGGAAGACACCACAGAAATACCTGCTCCAACAGGCTCTGGGGCTGTTACAGAAAGTTAAGATTCATCCTGTTTAAACCTTCTGCAGAGGTTTAACACATTTATTGTGCATGTACACAAATGGTTTTCCAGACGTCACTTGGAATGAGTGGCACTGATGTGACTAACTCCTCTAGAAACAGCTTTCATCAAAGGATCACTGTGAAATGCTGGCAGTCTCACCACCTACTCTTCTGCAAGTGATTAGCCAAAGGTTAGTAAGCACAGTACTTTTACTCATTAGCTGGGGAACTACTCCACATAATCAATCTTAGAATATGATCTTACTCTCTAGTACATGTCATTGATCCAGTTACTCTGTGAGAAAACAAAAGGTCTGCATCCTTTCTGCCAGATTAAGGATGACTACGTTCTCTCAGAAAAGGAGTAAAAAACCTTATGCAATGTATTTAAAACAGCATACCCAGAGCAAACTGAACTTAGATTGTACGGGTAAAATAGATGTATTTACAATATTGCATAAGTAACAGAACAGAGACTTCCATTCCAAGATCAATCACATCAAAACAGAATTAAAAAATATTACAACTCACATGTTTCAATCCCTATAAATCCTTAATTTCTATCCAACATCTTCTTTATAAAAGCCTGTTTAAAATATTACACTTTTGATTCACTCTTGCTTCAACAGAATCAAGTATTATTTGTTAAGTGTTACTGATCACTCAGTCTCTGTCTTAAGTTCCTAGATTTTCCATTTTCAAATTTCCTCTTTTTAAATGTTGGCACCCCTTCTGTCAGCTCTCCAAGGGAGGTGACTGTCTTCTCTTTAAATATCACTGTCGCATCGTCTGGATCCTCTGCCACTGGGGGTGGCAGACTGTCACTCTCTGTACTAGGAAGCTCCAGGTCCACTTTTTCACTGGGAGAAGAGAGGAAAACACAGAAGGATTAATCTACATGGAAAAAACAGCATGGTGTACTGCAGACAGCAACATCTATATTTGATTGTCAAAGCAGCTTTGAGCTAGATGCAGTCTTCTTGCCAAGATCTCCATCATGACAGGCATCAAGGAAAAAACATGCTCTTTGCTGCTTCTGTGTGGGCTGCCCTGAAAAGTAAAAAACTAAGACCTCATTGTGTACAGAGCCTATAGCATGGCCCAAGCACTCATCATGTAAATAGTCCTGCAAAAGACAACAGGGCTGCATGTGTGTAAATTTACAAGACAGTAGTCAGTGACCAATTAGCAATGCTTCACTGCCAAAATGCTATGGAGTAGTTTTCCACAAGTGTCCATCCCCGAGGGTCTGCATGACAGAATAGAGAACAGGCTTACCAAACCAGCAAGTGACCCCAAGTTGGGAGGAACAGCTTTGGAGAACAGAATCACAGCAAATACTGATCAAAGGCGCCATCTAAAAACAACCCGTTGGTTTTAAGAGGTCAACAGGAAAGCACTATGTTATAAAAGAATAACCTGTGGCACAAGCATATGATGGAGAACAACCCAACAGTTGGCAGCAAATGATCTTAATTACAAGTCCATTGGACATCACACCAGTATAACTCTGCTACAGAGACACACACTGTATTCCTGGCCAATCCATACAGGAAATCCTTCAGTACTACTGAGTGCGTCTGATGTCAACTCCTGTACTATACCTGGTTTCAGCTCCTGTGCTTTGAGGAAGACATAGACTGGGTCAAGCACCCAAAGAGAGCCACAAGAATGACAGCAGGTCAAGGAAACATGACTGTTGCAGTATCCTGAAAATACAAACCTCTGGAAGTGGTTGCCATTGTGCCTAACCTCAGTTTAAAGTAAATAACAAACAACTGCATTTCTCTCCATTACATGTGTGTATATCTCAAGCCTGTGTTTTCACCTACAGACTGATATATAAGGTTCAGTAGCTGAAAGCACTTTTTATACAGCAGTGCTTTCCAAAAACTGAAAGAACTTATCAGTTCTGAAGTCAAGGAGCAGTTAGCTGGTCCAACACAGAAGGTGTTATGTGAGCATTACGATCTCCAAGGAAGTAGATCAGTGCTGAATTTAGTTCCAACACTGTCAAAACTGCCAAATAATTTACAACTAAAACACTAGAGAATGGGGTGAGTATGAGACAAAGGACAGTTTTCCTTCTCTAAAACCTAGCTTCTCCAGACTCCTAGAGGGGCCCACAACAAGAAACTGGCTGTAAAAGGCAGCATGTGTCACAAAAATAATGAGCCAGCTCAAGCACTGTGCAGTAAAACCAAACCAAAACAAACCTCCTGATCACAAAAACATCTGTAGCACATCAGCTGGACATGGAAGAGAGACAGCTTCCAGATTTAAAATGGCATAACTAGATTACACATTTTGTCTTTCATCTCCTGAGTTAAGTCATTATAGAAAGTGTCTCCCACGACATTATAAGAGCCCCCAGGACTTACCTGCAGTGACAGCAGTAAAGGTTGTGCATTTTGTTTTGGTTTTGCTTAACTATGTTTTGAAATAAGGCAAATGAGGGAATGAGAAACAGCTGAACCAACTCTTTTACTGCAATTCTGGGTGAAAATTTGAAGTGTCTTTTCAACTATGTCCTTCCTTCAAGTGAGAAGCTAGAGTTAGTACAACATCACAAAGTGAGAAAGAATTCACTGCTTGTGCAAGTAACTCAGCCGAACACACCAGGCGTAGGTAGAAATTGCTTGGAGTCTGACAAAAAGCATACTCCTTATGTCAAGCACTCCTGATCCCATAAGGAAGGAAATCAAAGCAATGCTAACTCAGTATGATCAAGATAACGTTGCTGGTGGTCCTAGAAGACCAAGATACATCTTGAACTTCGGGCAGAGTTAGCCCACCTAATTACTCATCAGAAAGAATCAGAGTTTAGCCTGGAAGCTGGAGGCCCTGAGAAAACTGCCTATGCTGTTCTGAGGCTGGAAGCAGAGGAAGAAAGAGGCACAAGAGCTCTTGAGGCAGCTGAGCCAGATAGTTGAAGGAGACGCTGTTAAGGAACATAAGCTTAGAGTAACTACCTTTAAATAGCTGATACTCAGCCTCTAAGAAGAATTATGGATGACAACAAGCCTTCAAATCACTTCAATTTAGTCTGTAATCATGGTGAACTTCTACACTAAACCAACCCACCACCAATTATCTGCCATGGAGTGCTATTACTTCAAATAATTCCTGTGGTAAGAATTGTATTTGGCTCTATTTCCAATCCCTGCAGTGTTAATTCTGCCAGAATTCAGAAGAAAAAGCTTCAGTTCTTTCAAACAAGTATTCTGAAAGCAAATACCATGAAAATAACTACGATAAACATTTCCTCACCTCGGTTCTTCCTCCTCCTTTTCTTCTTTCTCTGGAATTGCTTTCCATTTTCCATAAGGATTGGTCTTGCTGGATGTGTCACTGGAGGCTTCTTGGGAAGGGGATGAACTCTCCTCTTTATCAGCAGTTTCTTCTGACTTAACTTCTCGCCATTTCCCGTAAGGACTTAACTTCTTAGCTCTGGGAGACTTTTTCCCTTCCTCTGATTCTTCACCATTATCTCGTTTCCTCTAAAGAGGAAAAAACCCACCTTAAGCAAAAATGCCTAAATAAAAACACAATGTAGCTTTATTTTACATCTTTGATTTACCATTACCTACTACTCATACTTTTCAACCAAGAGTAACTTGAAATGATAAACTCGTACTGTCATAAAACTTGAAAACAAAGCTTAGCATAGGTACATAAAAAATAAGAAGCAAAAATTCACATACACCTTTCTGTGCTGCAGATACACACACTTTAGAGCTAATACCTGGTAGTAGTTTACACTGATGCAGGGGTACAAACATACACATTTCAGTAACACCTGTCTGTGAACACATTTTATGTTTAAACTGTCTGAGAAACAGTTACAGAAAAACCATCTGACCCAACCAGAGCCATAATCACACCCTTTATCATAAGTTTTAAACCTGAAGACATATATCAATATAATTGATCCAGATTTTGTACTACGTGCTGCCAAACTTTTTCTCAATTAATAAGAAAATTACTCCCATGTGATTTTCAGTCAAAAGCTCTCCCTGAGGGTCTCTGGGCAGTCACATTTACCAATGAAGGTTTGAAGTCATCCTCACACTGCAATCCAAACCACTCTGTGGATTACTTCAGTGAGATGACAGTGACCTTTCTCAGAGAACATCACATCTCTGGCAGATTTCAAGCTGCTTCAGGTGGGTTGAAGAGGAAGATCATGCTTTCTATTCTGGAACAGTGTCACTAATGGGCCAAATGATTGAATAAAGATTCATTTGACTTTAAACAAGAGCAAACTTCTACTTTCGGTCATATGGTTTAACCTAATTACAATGAGTACATCCTATCACAACACATAAATTATCTTCTGCTAGAAAATTAATACTGTGTATAAAATAAATCTAAAAACTTGCCTTGGAATTTGTTTCCAAACTCTGTGCTTCATTCTCACTGTCTTCTGAGTCTGAATCAGATGTTTTGGAATCTGTTTGACTCTTCCCAGTTGAAGATGAAACAAAACCACTTGGTTTCTCCCATGTGGATACTGTCCAAAATATTTGATCACATTACTTATGTTTCTAATTCTGATCTGGCATTACCTTTCATAAGGAGTGCTGTCTTATGCAAAAATACAGCAAACTGTTTAGCACAGGGCTTTTGCCCTTGTTTGATATGTTTGTTTTAATAAACATAATCAGAGAGATAACATTTCACTTCCCAGCAGAGATACACTCATGACAGCTGAGTTTACTGTAGGTAAAGCCTGTTTTAATTAGTGCTTAAGAAAAATAACAAATGGTGAACTGTGGCTTGCAAGACTGTGGTCTCTCATCCTTCTACATGACAAATTGACTTCTAGAGGTGCCTATCTGATTTGCGTTGTCCATCGATTACAACAATGGACAGAATAAGGTAAACTGTAACTGCAAGCCTCAGCTCTCCAGGTAGATAAACCCCTTCTCTGTGCTACCTGGCTCTGTAACATTAAGTCAGTCTCTAATTAAAGAGCTATCAATTAAATACAAACATCAATCTGAAAAGACGTGGGAGTATGTACAGGATGTGACCTCACTTTCAACTTTTTAGTTGGAATTTGCTGGTACTATACAGGCAAATAGACTGAGAGGAAATATTAAAGTAAAGGTTGACTCAGTGGTCTGAAAACCAGTTTTAGTAACAATAAGGCAAAACCAACTTTCAATATGGATTTTTATATAAGCTTTCAAATTTAATAAAACTCTCCAGTTATTTTATCTCTTTCCAAAGAAATCCCCAACTGAAAACAACACTTAACATGTATCTTGAAGAAGTAAAGGTGTAAGAAACTGGTAATAAGTGACTTTACATGACCAGAACAGTCTCTTTAGGGCACTGCTGTCGCTTCGGAATCTCACAAGCCCAAGTTTTACCAAATATGATGATTACAAAAACATTCTTCATGAGTGTCATGTGTCCATGAAGAACTTGAAAAAACAACACAGCCAAAGGCATAAAATATCCCTGAGCTTAGAAGGCAATGTTTAAAAATAATCAGCATCTCCTTCAGCTTTCAAAAGAAGAAATCACAAATCATTTGGGCAGGGGAGTGGCACATTGGAAAACTGGAAGTTTTGGGGGTTTTATTCTATTCTTGGCATCCTTAGGAATGCCGCTTAATACCCAACAGCAGAAGAAAACCTCATACACAGCATAAAATCACTTGCTCTCCAGAGAGGCATCACTGACCTCAAAATTATTCCAATGGATTTAGAAAACAGATGCCTGTTCTGAGGGAGTTACCGCAAAGTTCCCCATGTTAGGGAAAAGAACGGGGAAAAGAAGCAGGAGGCAAGATGCTAGGCGGTCTTATCAATGCTGTGTTGGTAAAAGTTTAGGAGATTCTTATTCAGTCCTACATACCTGCCAAAACAAAATCCTGCCCCTTTCTGGTTCCCAAACTATAATTTCAATATATATGTAGAAAAGAAGAACACACAGTTCAGAGCTACAAGTTGAATATCAGAAAAAAACCTATTAAGCACAGATGTATACACACTGACAATACAGCTATAAAGCCAGCACTGACCTAAGCAACAAGTGTATTTCGACTAAGAAAGCAGCTAAAAAATTCAGAACTTAGTAATACCCTTAAAATGCAGTTACTTGCAAAACAAAGTGCTTTTCTGAAAACCCTCTCTCCTGAAACAGAGCTTAACTGGAAAACAAGCTCTCCTTACCTCCTGTTTGTGTGTTGTAGTAGTAAGTATGACCATCTTCAGTGATACCCTCTACCCACTCCATTGCCTAAGGAAAAGATACGGGAGAAATTAAAACAAGTTTCAAGGGTCAGCCAAAGCATGACTTATAAGACTACTCAACCCCCGAGTATCTTTTGTTGATAATTGTGATAATTTTCCTGTTTTAAAGCTTGAACCTCTGAAGTTGTTAGGAAGTATTCCCTTTGACTCAAATGAGACTGAATTGTTTAACTTAAAATACTGCAAATGCACACACACGTTTTTTTCAAGCAGTGGATAATTAGTATGAGGCAATATAACACATGTTGCCATACACTTCAAATTATTGTACAGGCCATTATTTTACATGGGGTTTATTTTCCAAAGTGTTCACCCGTGAGGTAGTAATTTCCTGTTTGTGTCATTCTCTTCAGTGGAGGTCGATAAGTTTCTCTGGAAGGTGCAAGGTTTCGCAAGGGCTACAGAAAACTGGTATCAGTAAGTACTACCACCAACTAAACAGAAACATACAAACAAAAAGCCATTCTAGAATTTATCCCAAAACAGATGTTCACCAAAAATAACAGTGAAATCAAACTTTGCAGGAATGCATGCCCGTTCATTTACTTCCTTAGTGAAGCAACACTTTTCCCTACTCATTAATAAATCCATATGAAATGTGGCGGAAGTTGCAGGTAGGTCTTTTTGGATGTGTAATTAAAATGCAGATGTGCAGAATCAGCCACAGGTACATAATCAGTCATTACCCCTGACTTAACATCTTCCTTAAGAACCTGATCTACATTAACACCTGCACATACAACTACTTCACTGCTCCTTAAGTATTAACTACTGCTTGCTCCCCTGCATTAGGCACAACATCCATGAAGCTTCACCATACATTATTTTTGCATTAATAAATGTCTCTGTGTGTGTATATACACACACGTACCTATACATTTGCTTAACACTCTATTAAAACTTTTTGTTCTCTTTAAACACACGACAAAATCATGAGTTAAAGTTCTTGCATCCACTCTGTAAACAGGGGAAATTGTACCAGTAGGTTCAGAGCAGGCAAAGGCAAGAGAGCCTTCAGTGAGCAAGTTTCCTCAAGGGTTTGCTCTCAAGTGCTAGTTTCTCCAAATGAAGCAAAAGGAGAATTTATTTTCTGTAAGTAGAAAGAGGACAAAAAAACAGCCTTAAGTACAACCTAGCCTTTTTGTTAGTCATATCCTAAGCATCTCAGCAGATATTTGATGGTAGACACACTGAGTATCTACTATATAAATGCTAATTGTAGAATCAACTAGGTTAGAAAAAACTTCTAAGATCATCAAGTCCAACTGTTACCTCAGGACTGCCAGGTCCACCACTAAACCAGGTCACTAAGGGCCTAATCTATGTGGTTTGTGAGCACTTCCAGGGACAGTGACTCCACCACTTCGGTGGGCAGCCTGTTCCCATGCCTGACCACCCTCTCAGTGAAGAAAGTTTTCCAGCTATCCAATCTGAACCTCCCCTGGTGCAGCTGGAGGCTGCTACCTCTTGTCCTATCGCTTGCTACTTGGGAACAAATGCTAACAAGCATGATGTCAGCCTAACTGAAGTTGCAGGTAGTCTTCAACATGCCTTTTCATTACTCTGCTCTCTCCACCTCTTATGATGTCTGAGCAGCAAGCTAGTGTGCTGTAAGACAGGGAGGGCCGGTGCATCTACACTACATATTGCAAGCATGCCCTTTAATTTCTGGGCGGTGAGTCCTTGTAAGAGATCTGGAATGTTCCCAATATCTTTAGCTCAAACTAAATAAGGAGCAATCAAGTGGTTGTTTTTAGCAATAGCAAAAATAACTCAAGACACCACAAAGTCACTGAGCAGGGTGAGGGAGGAATGACAAAATACAACCATGTGGCATTAGAGAGATATCTGAGGCTGAAGGTGTGCGTTTATGATAAAGCTGAGATGAGCCAACTTCAAATTGTTGCCAGGAAGGGAGCACCTCCTCTCCCTGATCTGCTCTCCCCACACTGGCATTTCCCCGATTACCCTCAGAGCTGATGGCAAGGAAATAAGCCTACAGAGCACTAACCTACACTCTGATGTCTTCACTCCCTGAACTAGTTCACTGTTAGGGCGAACATGCACCAAAGACCACACAAGATTAGTCACAAGACCACATCTTTCAATGGAAGGCTACATTAAGACTGGCTTATAGATATTGCAAAGCTATACCCTGACTGAAAGGATAAAGGCTTCACATATACTTCGTGAATTGATTCAATTGCCTAAAAATAGCCCCAATTAAAACCATTTTCTCCTCTGACTGTAAGTTAACCAGTACCAAGCACAGCCTGCCTTCTGAGATGTACAGAATGGGAAGCATTCTGAAAAAGCCAGGCTTTTTTGATCTTTAACATAAAATCCAACATTAGCAAATAAAACTGACTCTAAATCATATTGTACTTATGAGACCTACGCTGAAAATGGGGAAACAGAACATAATGTCTCAGGAGTGTTGCAGAAATCCTATTTTTAATGTTCTGAACCACAAAAATCCTGGAGTGATAAGTATCAGGGGAAAGCCCATTAATAATAGGAAGAAATCAAAGAACAGTTTGGGTTGAAAGGGACATTAAAGATCATCTAGTTACAATGCCCCTGCCATGGGCAAGGGACACTTCTTTCTGTCCTTGGTCTATTGTGCAAGTGTTCCCATGCCTTAAATAAGGAAAAAAAAATAAGGAAAATAAAGTAATGTGCTAAAAGGTTCCTTACACATAGGTTCCATGACCATGGAACTATCTGACAGTGCAATCTTAATGTTTCCTAAGAGAAAGGACTCTTTCTCTTATGTGTAAGAGATGTGTAAGGTCTTCTTTTTTTTTTTTTAATTATATTACATTTGCAAAAGTTTGAAGAGAATTTATTCAGAATTTCCAAAAGGTTTTCAGTTTTATGGACTGAAGCATGAAAAAAGCATACTCTGCAAAACCACACCCACCACCATTTCTCTTCCCTTGATAAACAAATTAGCCAAAAATTGGTATATTAAAATCTCAGTTTCCATCAAGTATATCATAAAACATTCTATACATTCAGTTTTTCTTTTCCTAAGTTTTTGAAAAGGAAACAATTTATCTTCTGTAGTCAAAAGACTTGCAAATTGCTTAGCTTATTTTTGAAAAGTGTTTGCAAGGACAAAGAAAAGTATGAGTAAGAGTATTTCATTACCGCTTTTGAGTTTGGAGAGTTGCCTTGGAATCCTTTAGGTTTCTCCCACTGTGATTCTTAAAAAAAAAAATATGTTTCATCCATTATTCAATCCTGTTTTAATAGTCTTTAAGAAAAAGAGATCTAAAGAACATGACATGACATCGATGTGTGCACATATACAAACAAGTAATATAGTAAACAAAGAAGTAAAATCCTCATTGGAATATAAATCACCCTCAAGCAAACCATGGTATGAACAATAAACAGAAGTATCACAACTGGAGTTGACTTTACTGGGACTAACCACCTTCCAGACACTGTTAAACTATGGCCGATACATACATTAATACTGGAATTTTGATACAAAGGAGAGGGTTTTTTTGTCTGCTGGGGCCTTTTTGTTTGGTTTTGTTTTTTTAGTAAGATACGAAACACACAAGACTTTTACCTTTTGACAATTATTTTCTATGAGGAAAGACTATAGTAAAAATTCATGTTAATCCTTAAATTTGTAAGAAACAGTTTGTAATATTCTCATTAATCATAAAAGAGGGTTGCTTTTAATGCTCTAAAGTAGAACTTAACACATAGCACCCCAACAGAAGTCAGTTAGATAAATCCTGTAAATGTGGAAAGAAACAATCAGATAGCAATCCATAACTACTCTCATTTACTTGGACACAATGAATATGTTTCACATTCCTGATCAGAACACTTCTTTAGGAAGAACACAGCTATCTTCCGTATACTTAACTTCTGACAGGCTAAATGCTTCCAGAACCTGTGGAATTACTGCTTTCTTCCATTATTAACAAACAGGAAAACCAGTCTGAAATTCTGGATGCTAACATCTTGAATGTTAAATATCAAAATTCCATCTAATTGTTCACATTTTAATAACCAGCTTACTACAGAAAGAGCAGAAGAGTAAAGAAATGCAGGTAGTCTTTTCTCATTTATATCCAACAAGTGTATCTGCATTTGCTCCTAGTGTTTACCTCCTGTTTTGGTGTTGTAATAGTATGTATAGCCTTCGGGAGATAATCCTTGCACCCACTCCTTCATTTCAGTTTTTGATGACACTGAGGAGTCCGGAGATGACTTTTTTTTCTTTTCTTTCTTTTCCTTCTTCTCTTTCTTTTCTTTCTTTCCTTTAGTTTCCACTGTGTTACTCTGCATTTTACTCTGTGTCGAACTGGGACCTACATCATCTTAAAGAAAACAATACTCCCTTTTTAGAAAAGAGTAATAATGTGAGCTTGAATATTAGTCACTCTTGAGCAACAGTAAATAGGACATTTTGTTCTTATGAGTTATATTCACTCATTAGCATTACACTCATAGCAGGTAAACTTAAAAGATTCTGTTCACAGAATCTTGCATTGTAGCAATATTATTGTAGTGTAAGAAAGTATCAAAAGATCAGTAACATAAAGAGAAAAACCATAAGGAGCAAAGAGCTCTAACTAAACAACAACAAAAACAAAACTAAGAAAGTTACGAAAAAGATAGTTCTACAGAAGCTTAAAACTACAAACTTTTTTTAATGGATAATAAGTTGTCACATGGAACAAAGGTACTTGCTGAACTGAAGCTGAGTAGGAGATTCTCACCTCCACTGTTAAGACACCAGTGGGAACCCAACCTCTCCTACGCAATAGGAACTTTTGTCTCCAACTGGCAAAAGTGACACAAAATTAACCAAAGAAAGCTGCACTGCTGATCCAAAGCATCAACTGCAGCCTCTTTTATGTTATCTCATTGTTCAATTTTTCTACTCCAAACTGGATTGTTCCACAGACCAGAGGATACCACAGCTTAAAGCATTCTGTGCTGTCATTTCTGCTACAGGCAATTTGCAGGCTCCTCCTTTTTTTTCTTTTCTTTTTAATGTGCAAACACAGTCCTGGAGTCCTCCCCTCATGTTCCTAAAAACTAATTTAAGAAAAAAAACCTTTCCTATTCAGTATTCTTTCAATTCTGTGTTTAATCTTCTGGCAGCTATATGAACTACCTGGCTTAATTCCAAGCCTTTTCATATCCTCTTGATAGGCTTTCATTGCGGCCTCCTCCATTGCTGCAAATTCTTTTGACATGTTTTCTTCTTCTTTTGCTTTTTCCAAACTTTTCTTTTTAATCTAAAACAAAGAAACAAGAGAATAAATTAAACAAATCTGATAATGAAAGAGATTAAAAATAAGCATTTGTGCAATTAAGATATCCGAGTTACCTCACTAATTCTTTTTGCCACATTTTCTTTATGATTCTTTCCTCTTTCATGAAAATCAATGCTCTTCAGAGAGAAAACCAAGAAAAAATTGTAAGTATTATGCAATTTTAACTTCATTAATTTTAGCTAAAATCTAGTTAGACTAAGCTAAGCTGAACTAGCCTAAATGTAAGTGGTCTGAAAACACTTCCAGCAAACACTACAGCTACAAAATGGCTGTAGGAATTAAGGAACACTGAGAAATGCTCAACTTGCAAGTTACAAAATATCAGTAATGCTCCGAAATGGTGCCATAAAATTTCATAGTCTGTATTTCTAAGATTTAAATTTTTTTCAAATGATACTGTTCATCACACATAGAGATAAGTAACAGGAAATCTGGGCTCCCCCTCCATGCTATCCTTCCAAGTGCCATCCCTTCATTTTTTTTTTCTTACCCTCTCTGTTTTCATAGAAACTTTTAAAAACCATTTGGGTTATTCAGCATTCCAAATATTAGCTAGGCTCCTTAATTAGACTACCTCATGAACTTAAACAAGTCTGTAGGTCCACAGACATGAGAAAGGGAGACAAAAAGGCAAAGCTGTGTAACTGAAGACAACAGAGCAGTCTGCAAGCCAAAAAGCTGCCAGAAAGACTGAAGCCAGTATGAACTGGAAGGAGTTCAGAAGCTGTACAGGGACAACAGTGGAAGTCCTCATGTGGTTCACACAAAGAACATCTGAGCTCATTTAGGTGTTCAGATGTTAGGTGCCTGAGCCTGACCTAGTAACTCCAGAATTTCTTTGCATGAACCCATATGCAGAGGATGCACTCCCAGGGCAAGATTCATCTCATTTAAAAGCAGACTTTGTAAGTTCCCCAGACCCCTCCCCTTTAACATGTATTTCTCTTCACTGATCACAAGAAGGAACCTAAACCAATTAGCTCACACTTGTCATTCTGAACTCCAGGTATCTAACTGTAAGCCAGATGAAGCTCAGCTCCAGGACTACCCCTGGCACTGAGTCAGGAATGCAAGACTTAATTTCTAAGTAAGAAACCAATAGGTCTACTATTCTGCAAAAGGCATCTGCAAGTCAGAAACACCATTCTGTAACCGAGTAACATTTCTGTGGGCAGTCTGTAATTAAAGAAACCTGCTTTAAATGCTTAAGAGTGCTGGCTGTACCAGGCCTACCATATGTAAACAGTACGTATGCCAGGTTTTGCTTTCTACTTGCATGTGAAGGCCAGGAACAGGCACAAAGTTTCAAGACAGATCAAATGTTAAGTTACAGAACTTGAAAAAGCAGGGTCAGATAATTCAGTTCTTATCTGTACTGGCAAGCAGAACAGCAGACACCACTTTGCATGCATGTACCTGGCTCTCACATACCATATTTTAAATATCTCAAGCATTTTTTAAAACCAAATTTCATGCATCAATACATTAGTATCAAAAGTGATGTCAAAAGCCTGTAATTCAAATTCTTAGTATTTCAAAATCATTGACATATTATGGTAGACCATCGTACAGGTCTGTTGTCAGCTATCCAGCACTTGCAGTAATCGCAGAACTTTTTTGGCTGAGATTTCCAGTAATCGGCCCTGGGGAAAGAAAAAAAATAAGTATGTATAATCTGAAACAAGAATCAAAGCCACAGGTCTTTATATAGATATATAGCTTATGAAACTAAATCTACTCTGCTTTGGGTGACCGTATTGTTCAGTATTGGGATTGTCCCCATCTGACCCCTGCAGATTGCAAGATTTTCACAATGGAGATGCTTCTGTAAGAACCAGAAACACATGAAAAGGCAAGCTAGAGATACATAAGCAGCTCTAAACATCCTACTAAACACAAACTGTGCAACTTGCACTTTTCATAAATGTTTGATGTTTTTCATAGAACCGCATGCAATAAATGAGTCTAAGTGTAAAACGTTAAGATTTAATGCCAAAGTCTGCTTTGGATACTGTACACAGTGCAGCACAAAGGCAGTACAAAGGTGCAGTTCTGGACAACATGAGCTGCTGTGGGGAATCCTGGAACAGATTCTGACCTGTGGGGTCACAGACACAGCAGTAAATCGTTGGGATGTTTCAGTGTAAAAATTTGAGTAACTTCTGAAACATACAATTTAGATAAGTCACATGCGTGAGGAAACTTGGGGAAAACTCTTCAGGGCTCAGAAGTTAGGACCTAAAAAGTATTTAATAATAAAACAAACAAGCCCCCAAATGGCTGTTCCATCATCAAAAACCATCTGTAATGCCAGATGAGGCTTGTGAAATAATTCAATTTCTTGTTAGCTTGCAGCAACAGAGGCAATGCTTTGGTTCAACAAAACACATTCTAGCAACAGACTGCTCTTAAAATGGAAAAGAATGAGGGGTGAAAACAAAAATATTTCAAGATTACACTGAGAACATTAAAAAAGATAAGTCTGAAACCTGAATCGTTGCCTTTGTCTGAAGATCAATGGACAGAGTTCAAACAAAATACTTCTTGACACTTTTATTCAATAAAAATAAAACTTCTTCCATGCACAGTGATAGCACTTCAACTCTTACACACGCAAGCACATCTTTCATTACCAGAAACAAACCTCAACTCTTAAAATTCAAACAGATGTTGAAATACATCCTCTGACCAGTGCTTAATGTAAAAATACAGCTTCGCAGATGCTACAATTATTTAAAGTGTAAGTATGAAGGATTTGAACATCAAGCTGCGCATCCCTGAAAGGTGGTACTTTAAAACTGGACGATGACTTAGTCACACATTTAATTAAATGGCTTTTGAAATGTATATATCAAAATGTATTGCAGCCAAAGCCTGAAAACTCCAACACTCCCGGCTGGAAAACCAGCCTAGTGGGAGGGAGAAATTCAGAGCTCAGAGATATCTCGAGGCCCTTTTTCCGACTGGAGCTATAGCTCCTAGTTTGTCTCTAGACCCCTTTGACATCATCTCAAATAATGCTCCAGCTGAAAGCTATGTTACCCTTCCTAAAGCAACAGACCAATTCTGACAGAAAACACATGAACTGTACAACAGCCTCACTGCATCTTGCAGATATGCAAGAACATCTCTGTGCTTCCAAGTTTGACCTAACAGAGCTGCCTCTTTCTCTTCAACAGAATCAAGTATAAGTGCTAAAATTAAGACTGTACAGCTGCACCCATCAAAAGTCAAGACTTGAGAACATGAGGAGGTGTATTTTCACAGCTGTATTTTCCACGGATTCTTTCCTAAATGCTACCGGACATCGCATCTGTAGCAAACCACTGCAGCTATACAGTCATCTCGCTGGAGAACCTGAGGGTGCTCCTGGGGATCAAGTATAGATCCAGAAGCTTTTTGTCTTCATCTCCTATTGGTTTCGATAAAGACAGGCTGGCTCTCTGTTGTTACATATAAAAGCAAATGATACTGTCTGTGCAAAAGACTTGATATCATGGGAACCTAAAATCCTGCATTTCATGATTAATGAATTGTGGAAATTATGGTCCCAAGATTTTCCACCTTGAGTTCATACTACTCAAAAACCAAGCTTGTCTGAAATGAAGTAATATCTGCCATTTTAACAACAGTGGAACCTGCAAAGCACCAATAGTGCTGCAATGAGAGCAAGCCAAAGAGAAGCGTTTGGAAAGGAGCAGCAACAGAAGCAAGACCCCACTTCAGTGAGAGGCTGCTAGCGCTTCACGGGCTCCAGTCACAAACCTGAAAGTTAATCCAGACCAATGACAATGTTTCAGTATGTGATTATTTTATTAATCTGCCAAATACAACCTTGAGAGTAGATGCTGTTAAAGTGGTACAGAGGTTTCTTATACTTGAATAATTGTGTACAAATCAAGGGAAACACAGTTATTTTTTGAAAGTCATTGCGATCAAAACCATACAGCTTTTAAGACTTCCTATCTTCTGAGTTCACTTCCATCAGTGAAGGTTAGTTCTTATTTTCAGCTTTAGAGCTGGACTAACCCGCTAAGGACCAGAAAGTTTACCAGCTAGCCAGTACCACCACAAATACATTCCTTCCTGCCACGCAAACAAAGAGTCCAGAGGTTTGCAGAGCTGAGGTTCAGCATCGCACACATTTACTCAGGTCTGGCTCCCAAACAGGAGCTTGGCGACATGGACCCAGAGAGGTATCCAAGTTTCACTGTGAAGCTCTATCTCCTGGGAAGAGTTGTAACAAAGTCCAATGGGAGCCTGGCTTTCTAGAACTGTCTGAGCAAGTTCAGCTTGGCAATCAGCTGCTAGGCACCCAGGGAACAGAGTAGCTCAGACAGTCAGGTATTGGACACCTGCTGGAAAAACCGCCGTAAACCTTCAGCAATTTGGAAGAAGTTTGCATCTCCTACAGAGCAGTGATTTTTTTTTCAACTTTTACTCGTCAAACCACTCAGGGGGCAGAATGTGCAACAGTTCAGCAAGTCAAAAGGGAAGGAGGAAAAAAGAAAGAGTAAACACCAAGCTGTTTTCTTGAGATGTTAATGAAATGACAAAACTCTGCTGCAAACAGTTGTACAGTGCAAATAGCATCAGTGTTAAAACCATTTTCAGAGTTCTGAAATTCATTTAAAACTTCAGAGGGAGTGAGAAGACGGGGAAGAAGAAGTAGCAACTCCGCATGAACAGCACCTGCCACATTCATCATTTCACAAGACAAGAAAACACTGAAATCTCAGAGAGAAAACTCAGAAACGCAGGTATTTTGACTTCGCATATTCATTTCTTGAGCCATGAGACGAGTGCAGCCTACGCTGCAGTGACGCATTTACACACTCCAGCAAGTAAACCACGCGTTTGGGAGCACACAAAAGGGGACAGGTTCTGTTGACAAGGCTCAGAAAGTAACCTGCAGAGTAACACCAGCAGTACTGGGGTCCAGGGCCCCAAACCCAGTCAACTGGCAAACTGCTTCTCCCCACAAGCTATAGTATTATTAATGTTTTAACAGGTGGTGCAGTCAGCTCTCCTTACAGAGCAAAGCTTAAGAAACTCTCATAAAGAAGCTACCTTCAGCTGAGACAGCTTTGCCAGACTTGACTTTGAGACTGGGATGGAGATTTTGTTTTTACCACATACAATTAAAATTAAAAGGGGGAGGGGGTGAGAAGGGAAAAAACAAACAAACAACTGTTTTAGGTGGTTCTGAACACAAGGGAAAAAAAAACCACAACAAAAGAAAATGTGTCTGTGCATTCAAACCTGGAAGCATTTGCTTTGAACAGCTCTGTTCTAAACCATCAGACTTGAAACTTGGAGGGGAAGGGGGGAGAGAGTAGAGGGAAACAGTGTTATCAGGCATAGATCTGTCAAATTATAAGAATTTAGGGGCTAAAAAACATCATACACATGCTCAGCAGTCTTCTTCAGTTTTAACAGCTACAACCTCTGAAGACTACACAAAGGGAGTATCCCACAGCTTTCTGCAGGTTTGAGCACTGGGCAGCTTGCGTGCACATCATCTTGAATACAGGTGTGCAAAGTGAGAAAGAGACAAAGTTCTTGACTACACAAAGAAATAAATTCAGAGTAACTACTGTGGCTGCTCTATAACAACCACTCAACAGGAGACAGCATTCAGAAGTAGTAATGAACTCAATTTTAAAGAAAAAGAATAGTCCTGTAGTGGAAAGAAATAGAAAGAATGAAAGAAAAAAAAAATAATCACATCTATTTCACAATAAACCCTACTCCACATGAGAAGCAATTTCAGAACAGCTAATTGTAATTCAAATATCCTGGTATTGGCAAAATCTAGTAACGCAGCTCTAAAACAACAGGGAAGGAGGCCAAAAAGGAGGTTTTCTTGTACTGTGAAGCGGGTCCCAGCAATGGCCCTAATGACCCACGTTCTCAAATAATTCACAACTCCATTCATTCAAGTGCACTAATCCTACCCTAGAAACTCTGCTGAGATACATACGCATATTTTAAAAAATGTATTTAAAAGTAAGAACTCAAGAGAACAGCATCCCTGACCCAGCGAGTACATGGGGCTGTCCTTCGTAACTGTGGCTTCTAGTGTTTCACAGAATATACATCTGTATGTGGGCTCCCAGAGATGGATGGGATTTTCATCCACATGAAACAGGGCAGTTCTCTGAACAGTTTCGTTCTTTTGGCTTTCGAGTCCATTTTACTTTTGGAAATCCTTCTGTAAATTCTAATTTCCAACCTGATTTGCTGCTGCTTCTTCTCACTGTATTTGCCCCCTCTGAACAACATACAAATTACAATATCCCACAAGACAAACTGATCAGAGAGCGGAGCCTGCAAGCAGCTGCTCAGTCTGACCTGTACTGGTGCTGAAAATCATCTGCATGGATCTGCTTTGCCAGACCTCTTTTCTACATCGCAAACTCTGTAACTTTAAAGGTAATGCTGCAAATATTTTTAACAGCATACAAGAATGCACAAGAGTATCAGGGCAGGCAGCCTTCTGCACATATGGAGCTCCAATGGGCCTCATGTCCCCTAAATTCAGCTGTCTAAAAAGTCAGATGTTGAGTTGTCTGAGCTCTCCACATCAACAGATGGAAGATATCACCTCCAAAATGCCACTCTTTCTGTCCCAAATATTTATCTGAGAAGCAAATTGAACTCCGTGTGTGGTTTTTCCTTATACAGGGAGCTTAAAGCAAACTGCCCGAGTCAGTCCTCAAAACTTAAATATCTTAAGTGCAGGATATCTACTGAGAGCAGAGGTCTACTGCTGTAGATGCAGAATAAAGATATGGGCTATGTCGGGAAGAATATGATAAGAATTAGAAGAGGAAAAAAACAGCAACACAAACTGGGTCAGGAAGCTGTGCAGGTATAATTTTAGCAACAACTAAAATTAAGAACAGCACTGTATGTAGTACCAGCCTGCAAGCCAGGCTCACACAACCTAACCATCACATACTTCCCCACAGAAAGATCTTTGAGTCAGGGTAAAAGTTGGTTTTCTGATCAGTTTAAGGGCTGGTTTGAGTTTTTTGTCAGCAGGGAAGTTATGCATCTTGAAAAGTAACAGAAACAAACAAATGCCATTCGTATGAAAGTCTCACTTAATAACGATCAAATCCTGGATTCTTACCCCCGCAAACGCGGTGAGGTATTAACACAAGTTTCCTAATTAAACTCTCGGCCAGCAGGACCGAGGCGCGGAGGCTCCTTCCGCACGCTTCACCCAGAAGCGGAGGCGCCAAAGGTGGCCGCGGTTTCAGGGGCAGGGGTCGGACGGGCAGCCGGACAGCCGGCCCCCCTGCACCGCTCACCGCACCGTCCCGGCAGGCGGAAGCCCAAGCTGCCCGGCGTGTCTGGGAGAGATAAGGGAGCGAACGCGCAGCACAAGCAAACAATCAGGAGGGGGGAGGCCAGAGGGGAGCAGAAGAACGGGGTCGAGAGGGAAGCAACTCGGTCAGTGAGGCGAGGATCACCGGCCACGGCTGGGGCACGGCTGTAGCCCGGGTGCCCCAAGGTCTCCCACCCCCTGCGGACACAGGGCCCGGCCGCAGGCACTCCCTCCCTCCCTCCCTTCCCCGCCGCGGAGCCAGGGCAGAGGGTTCTGCGCAGATCGTGGCCGGCGCTGCCCGCTCCCTCCCGGCCCCCGACACTCACATCACCGCTTCCCGGCAGCGCCGCCGCGCAGCACCACACCGCGCCGATCCCCTCCGTTTGCTGCCAGCCGCGCCGCTGGGGCGGACTGGGGCGGGCCGGGGCGGGGAGAAGGAGCGCGAAGACAGGAGCCGGGAGGGCTCAATCCGCGCTCTCCTCCCCCCGCCCTTCCCCACCTCCTGCCTTCGCCCGCTCCTCCTCCCGCCCCTGGGAGAGGAGAGCGCTCTGTAGGGAGCCGCTCCGAGAGGGAGACGGAGCCGCCGTCGTTCGGTGAGTGCCGCGGGCTGCGGAGAGCCCCGCGCTCGGGTGCACGAGGGAGGCTCTTCGCCCTTTCTCTTGGGGAGCGAGCTACCGCGGGTCGGGGGTGCGAGCCCCGCCGCTGGCAGCACCCCATGCCGAGCTGTGCCTGCCCCGCTGCGGCTGCGTGTGGGAGCAGGGAGGTGCGGAGGGGCTGGGGAGGCGGCGGAGGGACCTGGGGTGCACCGCCCTGCCAACTTTGTGAGGAGTTGGGGCAGCGCTTGTGGCGGGAGGGGAGGGGAGGGGAGGGGTGCTTCGCCGCCTCAGCCGCTTCCTCCCACCCTGCCCGCCGCCGCCGCCGCCCTGCCCGCCGTCGAGAGGCGGCGGAGGCGCGCGCGCGGGACGGTTGGAGGCCGCGACGTGTGCGTGCGCGGCTGAGGCGGCGGGGCGGGGGGTGTTGGAGGGGGAAAAAGAGGAGGTCGGGGCCAAGGGCCGGCACCGCCCTGGGGCGGATGAGGGGGGGACTAAGACGGGACACTGTCGCCCTCGACACGTCGGCTCCGACGGGCCGTGTTACCGCCCAGGGCTGTCGGTCGCTCCCGTGGCTCCGGGTGCACGGGACTGGTGGAGGCGGAGATACCCCGCCTCAGCTGCTTCCCCCCCGGGTAAAACTCCTGCCGAGTTTGTATCCCCCCCCTATTCCAGCCCCCTGGGACTGATTTCCCGACGGTGCCGCGAACAAAGTGATGTTAATTTACCGATCGCGGCTGCCAGCCCTTCTGCTATAGTCACGCACAGGGGTGGAGGAGAAGCCTGGGGAGTGAGTCATGGACGTGAGAGGCCCTCTGGGTGTTTATGGCAAAACCACGGGGCGGCTCCTTCAGCGTGTGGGAAATCGGTGGAGTAAGAGTTCTGTATGAGAAGAGGTACCCGCGCGTACCACACAGCCCTGCCCGCGGAGCAACCTGGAAAAGGAGCGGGGGAAAGTAACGTCGCTCCTTCCTGAAGGGGGGCTTGTGGTCAGCCTGTCATAGCTAACTGCAGCAGTTACGCGTTTGTCAGCGTTTCCATTGTAAGGGCAGTTTTTATGTAGTTTATAACTCGGTTATAAAAACATGTGCCAGGTTGGAATTTGGTCATCGGCCTCTTCTCCAGAAACATCTTCTAGGTGAATCTTGACATGATTCTGCTTAGGTGCTAAGTGGAAATACATGGAAAATATTGGCTTTTTATGTTTCCATGAACTTTAAAACCTAGCACGTGGACACATTTACAGCTCAGTCCAAAAATAAGTCATCCCCCCACTAAGTTTGTTAATCTGGTGAAGGGTTTAAAGGCTTGATCTCTGTAGGCATTGCTCTTTATGCATTATTTAGTGCAGCAGAGACTTTCTGAAGACTCTTACAAGGTCCCTGCTTAAGGCACCAACCTACAGAAGTGACATGGGTCACCGCATGTCCACACAGCTCTGACAATGGAGTACCAGGACAATCTGAACATCTCAGTGCTGCTGTGGGCAAGAAGCTGGTCTTAAAAATGAAGGTGGAATATGTTAACTTTGCTCTGTGGGGTTTTGTTTTTTTTTACCGCGTCTGCTCAATTGCTGCTTCTGAGACAGGGAACAAACAGGGTATTGAAGAGGTTTGGTTGGTATCTCTGTATGTACACATCTCTGGATCCCGTGAAACACGCCTGCCACCCAGTGGATGTAGCTGATCCTATACGCTCCGCGTTCTATACATTACTACCTCTTCGCGTTGTCCAGCCCTACCCCGTTGGCAAGTTTGAGAAGCAAGTGCTTGGGAGCTGTAAAAATGCCCAGGTCATCTGGTTTGCCCTGGGCCTGTGTGCAGTGATGGTGTCTGTCATGGCATGGTTTTAAACTGATGGAGGGTAGATTTAGATTAGATACTAGGAAAAAACTCCTCCCTGTGAGGGTGGTGAGGCACTGGCACGGGTTGCCCAGAGAAGCTGTGGCTGCCCCATCCCTGGCAGTGTTCAAGGACAGGTTGGACAGGGCTTGGAGCAACCTGCTCTAGTGGAAGGTGTCCCTGCCTGTGGCAAGGGGTTGGAACTGGATGAGCTTTAAGGTCCCTTTCAACCCAAACCATCCTATGATTTTGTGATCTGCCACCATTCATCCTGGCCAGCTGGGGTGATGAACGAGGGGTGCATCTGCCAACGTGTTGCAGCTCCCCTGCTGGGCAGCAGTCAGAACAGGTAACATGAATGAGGTGGAGAATTGGATTTTGTAACCCCTGCCTTCGTCATAGCATTTCCACGTACACATAAAAGTTTTTGCACATGGGCTGCTGGGTTTTCTGGGTGCCTGGCCTGAGTCCCTGGGATCTGCTTTGCACTTACACTGAGCTTGTTTGTCTGGATCAAAAGTCCAATGGCTATTAGCTCTCAATGTGCAGAAGATGTTTTGTAGGTCTAAGCGTGTTAGAAATACAAGTCTTGAGTGTCAGCACTGCTCAGTGTCTGGAGCATTTTGCTTTAATCTTTTCATATCTTAATTTTCCCTTCCTTAAAACACGGTGGATAACAGTATCCTTTACTTTAAGGATTACTGTAGTGATGAGAACCACAAAATAACCTGAGACGAAAGGAGTAGTTCCCTCTGTGGTTTGAATGTATGTAGTGATGCTCTAGAGAACACGGGCAAAAGGAAGAATTTGTGTGTTAATTATAGCAAAGCTTCTATGGGGAAAAAAAATGTGACCAGGTCAGTTGTAATTAGAGGTTGACCTCCATGCATATAAGCACTAGGAGATGGTTTTTATTGCCTTAGGCCACTTAGTTTTAATATTTCCTGTTTTCTGCCATGTTAATTGATTTTTTAATACCATTTTTTGCGTGTAATCCAAGGAAAGATCCTTTAGGAAAAGAGGTGAAAAGCAGATAGGCAGCCTAGGGTAGCATACTCATGTCACCATCTTTCATCGGCTGTGTTCTTCATGTATTACCTGGGATTCTGCTGTTGAGCTCTGTTGAGGATACCAATGGTTATGTTAGGTCATTGCTGTGGTCTGTGTTGCTGTGAAGACCCATGGGATGGGGCAGGGACAGGGCAGGGAGAAGCAGGACTCCTGCTCGTGTCCCAGGTACCTGGTATTGTTGTGGCTATAGCTTTACATGGGAAGCCTGGAGCCTCCTGCTGTTCTCTGACTTGGGGCACAGTTACTTGAGCTGCAGCCCTGTCCTGCGCAGGTGCTGGGGGAGAAGTTGTTTATTGCTGTGGGGATGGCCTGTGTCATCTGATCAGCATGAAGAGTTGTGAAGAATGTGGATGTGGCCTAGGAAATACCCACTGAAAATGCACAAAGTGCAATTTGGATATTTGTCCAAATGCAAGTGGATTTTTCATTGGGGCAGCAAAAGGGACACCTTCAGTACAGCAGCTTCAGCTCAGATGTCAAATATGAAAACTGTCCCCAAGAGCTGAAAGGATGCTATAGCCTTCAAAGTTTGCCAGAGATTTCTGTTAGCACTGAAAGACAGCTTTTTCCCTAGTCTTGTTCTGGGAACAGCTGAAGTATTGTGACTTGAGTTGTTCTAATTGCAGTCTGCCTGTTTTTGCACCCCTCACTTGCAGGTAACCTCTACAACACGTGGAACAAAATTTAGCCTGAGGCAGACATTCAACTTGGAAAATTTCAACCCAAACAGCCAAAGTCTGGCCAAGTTACAAGCAGCTGGAAGGAGAATCTCACACTGCAAGTGTTTAGCCACTGCCTAAATGTGGTGCTCCAAGGTTCATCAATACTGTATACGTTTATGTACATGGAAATACGGTGCTGAATTATAATATTAGGTTGACTAACTGGCAGCCAGTTCATTCTAATTTTTCTTTTTTTTAATAGAGAATTGAACCTAAACCTCTTTGGTTAATTGTGTGAATGCTTTTCCATATTCACATTATTCACTGTTTGTTTTCCTGGCTGAAAAAAATTGAAGACTTTAAAATGGAGCCTCTGAAATAAATGACAAGCCAGGGCTTACTTGTTCTGAATCTTTCAGAACGACTTAACAATTGCTAAAGACCAATTTACAGTAGAACTAGGGCAAATTGCTTCCCAGCCTTTTGAATTGTAAAAAACCACATCTCCCAAATTCCTAAGCTATTCATCAAGTGTTCTATTGTAGCAGGCTCACCCTATATTGTGTCCCTGATATGTCTATTAACTCTGCAGTGAAGTGTGAGTTTAAAACAATTGTGCCATGGAGTCACTGTGGGATAAATACCACAAACATCGGCAAAGTTGCTTCATAAATCTTTCATAGTTTAGTGAGGAATTTAGGCATGCCTTTCTTCTATGAGAGTGCAGCTGTTTCTTTTGGGGTCCCCCGGGGGCTGGATCTTGGTGTAAGGCTGTTTAATATTGTTATGTTCACAGTTTTTATGATGATATCTCATCGTTACCCATAGATTACATGCAGGTTTGTGCACGTATTCCAAATCATTTTTTTTTAAAATGGTCAGCATCCAGCAGAAGGCATTTTCCATGCAGCAGCGTACAAAGGAACCAGGAATGCAGTTACACCAGCAGGATAGGGAACTGTCTTCAAACTGGTAATTAGAGAAAAGACTTAAGAATTTGTGCAGGGAATCATCTCAACACAACTTTTCATGGTAATGCTGTGACCGAAGTGTGGTCTTTGGCTGTATAGCAATATAAATATTGCACAGAAATAGGAAAGTACGTGGCATTAGTAAGATCATGGGAATTCTGTGTGTGGTTTTGCTGCTGACATGTGAGGGAGGATGTGAACTATTAGTAAGAGTACAGTGACAAAAGTGATCCAAGGTTTGGAAACCAAGTTTTACGATGCAGGGTGTGCAGGGTTTATTCCCCTCAGAAGAGACTAGGAGAAATCATGTCTGTCTATATCCTATGTATGTGTAAGGGAGATACATGATACTTGACCCTACTAAGACATCCGGTGTCTAGGAGATGCAGTTAGGTATGTTTTACCTTGAAATATAAACGGCAATAAGGGCAATAAAGCATTCTAATGGATTTGCTGTTGCTGGGAGTGTATTAAGTGAGATGGGGTTTTCTTCTCAAAGATGTGCTTTGGCTTGGCTTGGTGGAGGATGTTTCCAGTGCATGCAGAAGGGAGGGACTGTGCTCTGTTCACCTGCATTCTTGCTTAGATTGAGGAAACAAGATTATTTGAAGTGCTTTCTGTGTATTGTAGCACATGTTCCCACCTTGGATAAGATTACAATAAAGTGTCATGCTACAGAACTTGGCTGGTTTTCTCGTCTGTCAGGAGAACCATTTTTTCTTTTAATTCGACTTCTGGGATTATGATTAATTATTGTGTACTTTCCTCCGGAGCATCAACATCTGGTGGCAGCTGGAGACAGGATATTGGGTGCTCACGTTCCTCACTTACTACTCCCTGTGGTTACAGAGTCCTCTCATATTCCCAGGTTGGTGTACGTCTTCCCTTACTCAGGATACTGACTGCTGTGTTTTGGGATGAAGAAATTTCCCCTGCCATTAGAGAGGCAAAGATGTTGCTCATTGTTCGGAGTTCAGCTGCTGAGAGCTTGTAGTACCTGCAGTCTCCCCTTAACTACCTCTGTGTCCTTTGGGCATGCCTTTCCCTCTGCCGTATCTCCTGCTGCAAGCAGACACCGCACAGGGACATGGGCACCCCATGCGTATGGCTGGGCAGCATAGCACCCCCAACAGTCACTAAAACAAAAAGTTATGGTGGTGAAATCATTCTGAAACCTGAAATACGACTGACTGCTTGAATCAAATCAAAGCATTAGCTGTAGAGCTTTTCAGGCAGCTTCACAGCAAAGCTGAGGGTTCAGTTTGGCTTGGGATTGCAAATGAGCCTAAATAGTTACAAAATGATGTTTTATAATTCCATAGTTCATTCTTTTTAGTACAAAAAAGACACATTTTTTCCTTTGGGATCTGAACTGGAATAAATACACTTTAAGTGTTGAAGTACTTCTTTCTGTAGAAAATTTATTTTATTGAACCTACTCTAGGGTACAAGGTAAGCAAAACAGTGCCAGGGTCTGATTTTCAATATTTCATACTGTGGTTTTAATTTGGGCTTTTTCATTCACACTTTAAAATATCCTGTGGATAACAAGTAAACAAGGTAACAAATTGCGTTTTCTGTACAGGGTGACATTAATGGAAGTTTTCTTGTTGAAAAGAACTGAAACTTGAGGAGCCTAAGTTCTTCTAAGTCAGTATCTCTGGACTTCTCAAAACCAGGTGTAGAAGTATTTCTGCTAACTTGGAAATACTTAGGCACCAAAGTACTCCTCTCAAAGATGATTTCTAAAACCACTTCTCTCAGCTGCCATATTGAGATATTCATATTTGAGGAAATTAATGACAGTGCAGCCTTCTAGGGTTTGATCTATATGCCCGTCACAATGTTCATTGGAGTTAATGATAATGTACTAGTGATTTCTAGGAGATACAGGATCGCGCTCACTAATAAAGGTCTGTCTGTTTTGAAAGTGCAGTTGTGGGTTTTAGTTTGCCACCTTGTGCCATCTTACTGGTTTTGTAATCCTTAGTGAGTTTTATTCCCTTGCTGGCTGTGAAGTCAAACAGTGTTTTAGGTTGAGATTAAAATCTATGGAATTGTCAAGTGACTTATGTCCATCTCAGGGGCATATCAAATTTGAACATAATATTATTAAATAGCAGAGCTGTATAACTGACTGTACAAATTATGAGTGTGTATGTAGGATAATTAGGCACCCAGACAACCAAATTAACAAAGGCTAGAAATAGTAGTTAGACTGCGTTCTCTGCCAGGTTTCCCCTTCACCAGTGCCAAATGCAACTGTAATCAGGATAGTCAAGAGTTAGGTGTTTTTATTGAATGTGCCTGCCATGTGAGTGTGTGTGCAGACTTCCCATGTAGTTCCTAATCCAGCACATCTGCTGCCAGTGAAGATGTAATTTTGCCTGCTCCCCAGAATTACTTTAATCTCCTTCTTTTAATTATGTGTTTATACAGAAATACCTTTTTTTTTTTCTTGCTAAAACTTCCTGTTTCAGGTTCACCTGCTTACTCTAGGCAGTGTGATATTCCAGTCTTTTTTTTCCTCTGTTAATACAATAGTGACATGAAGCAGTTACAGCGTCTGAAGTACTGGGTCATAGCGACATCAATGAAATTTTGAGGTTTTTCAGCTTGCTTGACCTTGTTCTGTGACTTGTTTGTATGTCATATATTCAGGTAGGAAACTGAGCATGCTCCAGGTCTTGGCAGAAGCTAGCTCACATGGTATCTGCTGCTGCTGTTTCAACATCTGCTGCTGCTTAGAGAGACACTGTCACTGTGTAATTTCCAGCAGCTTGCAGGTTAAGTGTGTATCAGATGTTTTTGGGGTGTGCTTGGGCTCTTCTTGAGGGGGACTCAAGCTGGTGGTTGAGAAGTGGAACTGTTGGTGGGAAAGCTGCAATTCTGCAACTTGCTGCAGACTTTGAGAGGCCTTTTTCAGACAAGGGGGGATTGAACACCATGCTGGCATCTGTTCTCTGTCTTTCATTTTATTAAAAGAGGAAGTTCAGTGAGAAATTGCAAGGTCTCTTGTTGATCAAGGTCTGACGCTGATCAAGAGAATTACAGCAGATACATTTGTTTTGAGGAAAACTCAGAGAGTGCACTCTATCACCAGTTTAAACTGTTGAAGACATGAAGAAGTTATGCTACCCTGTGGCATAAGATTTGTTATTTTTTTTAGGATAAAAGGGAGGGGAAGTGGTATTGTGGGTGAAAGCACAGCAAGAGTAGTCATAAAGAAGGGTGGTGACAGTACTTAGTGTTCATACACTGCTGTAGAAACACTGATCCAATGTGTTGTGGTAATAATGTATTTCCTAAGGAACAAGAAATCTCTAGGAAAAGAGTGTAGTCCAATGCAGTTTCAAAAACTTCACTGTTTTCGGGGAGATCAACCGATTTAAACAACAGAAACGTGCAAACTGAGTAACTAAGTACCGATGACTGAATTCATTCATGCATTAAAATACATTTCCCCTCGAGCCTGGGGAAGACCATTCCTTGTCTTCACACAGCCATTTGTGCTGAGTGAAATGACAGTGGGAGACAGCTCCAACATCTTCTTGGCCTGGACCTTGGGCCTCCTCCCTCCTGCTCTGCTTCCTGGGTTGCAGATGGACGCAACACAAACAAAGCTGCTACCAAGCTCCAGAAGAAAGGCCAGAGCTTGAGTATTTCTAGCAGTAGTTTCTCAAAACAGATACGGCTTCAGGCAGTTCTTACACAGTGCTTTTTCTTGCTCTCCCCGCATGCCTGCCCTCACACGTGCCAGACAGCACCATCTAATGAAATGGCTGACATTTCATTGATACGGATACCTGCTGCACACAATCATCTCCTAAGTAAAATGTTGGGCCTGAGGGACAGCTGTGCAGGAAAAGGCATTGGCTTTATCACGCCATCTCTGGAAGCGGTGGTTTCCATGGGCATCCCAAGGAGGAACATCATTGCTTCATGTGTAAGGAAAACAGGCCGCTTAGTGTCCATGCAACTTGCATGGTTTACACAGTAGGTTTATTTTAGTCAAAAGGGTCTGGACAGCTTAGGCGGCAAAGCTGAGGCAGGTTCTGGTAACTGTGCTGAGAAGTTGGTGGGGGCGGGTTGAGAAAATTAGCGGGGTGTTAGTGGAGATACTGGAAATGAGATGTATCTGTGGTCTGTTGAGCTGTAAACCTTATGCTGGCAGGCTTGTGCCAGCATTTTGCTTTTATGCTTCCTTCTGGGAGAGAGAAATTACACCTACATGTAATTGTGTGCAGAGAACAGGTCCCCCAGCACCTGCTTACCTCCTCTGAAGTAGTGCCAAGCTTTTGCCTTATGTATTTGGGTATCTGTGTGCTTTTTGCAGTTGTCTTTCACTGGATGCCTTTTCAAGTGAAACCTTCATGTGGAGCCATCCAAAAGAAAACTTTATATTATTTTCTTTTAAAGGTTTTCTTAGTTAAACAGATTTTATGGGTTAACAGATTGAGATTACTTTAGGGTTTGTAAGAAAATTTTACTAACCCTTTTTAAAATTCAGTTTTCAAATGTTAATATTACAATGTAGTAAAACGTTTCAACTATTACAGGTGTAGTATTTTAATGAATGAATGAACTGGCTTCTGACCATAAATATACAGCAGCCAAGATGGTGAGAGCCAAAAATGTACTTTTATATTCTTGGCAAATGACCATTTGTGGAAATTTTCCAGGACACATACATATATTGATGCTGAATAATTTTCATATCCTTGTGATGAGATTTACTGATATCTCTTTATCATTGTTACACACTTTTGGGAGTGAAGGAGGTGATTGTTTCATTATGGACCTCATCTGAGGCAAATTATTGCAAATACATTACGAAAGTCTGGTCTACCTACTCGCTGTACCCCTGGGTGTAATTTCTGGGGCAGTCTCTAAAGCAGAGGTCAGACAGCTGAACACATTTTAAGGATGTTGTTTGCTTGGGAAGTATAGGTCTGTTTTCTGTGAGAAAACCAATACATTAAGTTTTGTAGATGTTGTATTTATTCCATTTGAAATAAAAAGCTGCAGCAGAAATGGGAGTTTGTAGTCTCTGTTTTATCATTGCAGTGTGGCTAGCTGTTGGAAGGTCAAGTCATACCTAAGGTTGTTACTATATGAACTCCCTCGCTGACTTTACTAGTTAGGTGGGTTGTTTCTCCTCTTTTGCCAAATCTATGAGCCTTAGTGAAAGAAAACTCCTCATTTCATGTTTTCTTGTAGGAAAAAAAAAAAAGGTAGTTATAGAGAGAATTGCTTTTATTGGGGAAAGTTTGTGTTAAGAACTGTGTACTTCTTCATAGACTTTAAAACTCAGACTAGGTTCTAGGTGTTACATCTTTGCCTCAATAACTATTGAGAATACTACTTATTTTTCTGAAGTCTCTAATCCTCTAGAACACATGCAGTCTCCCTTTTCTTGTTTCAGATTGATGTCAAGACATGTAGTGATATTAGATACAGTTAGAGACTGTGTAGTTCAGATTTATGATGTGATGGAAACCATATCAAGCCTCCCTTTCTTTTTCTTTTTACTTTTTGGAGGTGGAGAAGGATCCATTACATACATGTTCACGTTTAACTTTTCATTCTGTATATTTTATTACCAGACTAAGCAGTAGCCTTACAGGTGTTTCAGTAGGCACAAGTATTTGTGCAGGTGCGGTTTAAGGGAGAAAATGCATAATACTGGTTCTTTTGTATAGCAGAATGACTGCCTTTTAGCAGAGGAAGCTATTCTAAATGGGAAGTATTAGGAAAACCACTGAATTTGGATACTGTATTAAAGAAATTTGAGAAGGTAGCTTTATGAACACTGTTACTGGTATTTTTTTGTTTGTGCTCCCTCTTTCTTATCTGTCAGATTGATCATGTCCTGTTAGTGAACTGAAGACAAGTAGAAATAAAAATCCAAAGGGTGTTTTTTCATCATTCTGGGGAAAATCCTTTCTTGGGATTGTGGTTTTATCTTCCTAAAAAATTCATTACTTACACTTTCAGGTAGGCAGGAAAGGAGATGACAATTGTACGTGTATTTTAACCAAATGTGGTCAGAGCTTGGTGGCTGAAAAACAGATGTCTCCATGCTTTTGCTTTTTGGAGCCACTACAATCAAATTCTTCCATCTTTATTCCAAAATGTATCTTGAATGTTAGTTCATATGCCTGAAGAATAGGGAATAGAACTGGGAATGAAAGAAAATAAGATAGAACACATCAGGAAGGGAAGGAAATAAAAGAATGTTGAGTTGATCCAAAGTAGTTTTCTCCTCCTCACGGTAAGGATAAGAGCCAGGGAAACAAGATGCAGAAGAAACTGATAAAATTGCAATAGTTTAAATATATAAACTATATGGTATGTATATATAACATATATATACTATAGAATAACTGGGACCTAGATCAGCACTTACAGAAGAATGTTGAGTTGAATTCATTACCCATAGTGAAAAATTGAAATTCCTCTCACCCAGCTTAGTGTGTGTCTTTTTTTTTAGGTTATTTTTTCAAGAACAAAGTGGTAACTTTCACTAAATGTGAAGAAAATGGACTTGAATCTGCATGCTGCTTCTAAATAACATTGAAAAGCAAGCATCTGCAGTTACAGCTTGGATTTCTTTCTCCTCTTCTCCCAAACACTGTGTTGGCATGATGTAGTTTTGAGGAGATAAAAAGCATTAAGTGTGGACAAGCAGTTTTTTTACCTAATTAATGATTGGATTTTCTAAGTGAGCTGTAACCAGCAGTGAAGCACCAGAGCTTTCCCAGTTGGGCATAACCATGAGCTCAACCTCATGTTAATAAAAGTCATTCCCTTTTATTAAGACTTGTGTGGTTACACCAGTAATAATATTCTTCAAGATGGAAGACTGATGCCCAAAGGGGTGAGAGCCTGGTTATAATTTTCTTTAGCTAAGTAGAACTGGGAAGGAGAAGACCATATTTTCACACCTTATATTATACCACCACCCCCATTTTTAGGAATACGGAAGTGTGGAAGAAAACAATCCCCGAGCCAACACAACTACTCAATGAACATGAGCATGAAAATGGACATGAGCCAGCAATGTGTGCTTGCAGCCCAGAAAGCCAACTGTATCCTGGGCTGCATCAAAAGGAGCGTGACCAGCAGGTCGAAGGAGGTGATCCTGCCCATCTACTCTGCTCTCGTGAGAGCTCACTTGGAGTATTGTGTGCAGTTCTGGTGTCCTCAACATAAAAGGACATGGAACTGTTGGAACAAGTCCAGAGGAGGGCCATGAGGATGATCAGGGGACTGGAGCACCTCCCATATGAAGACAGGCTGAGAAAGTTGGGGCTGTTCAGCCTGGAGAAGAGAAGGCTGCGTGGAGACCTCATAGCAGCCTTCCAGTATCTGAAGGGGGCCTATAGGGATGCTGGGGAGGGACTCTTCATTGGGGACTGTAGTGACAGGACAAGAGGTGACAGTTTAAAACTTAAACAGGGGAAGTTTAGATTGGATATAAGGAAGAAGTTTTTTACTGTTAGGTTGGTGAGGCACTGAATGGGTTGCCCAGGGAGGTTGTGAGTGCTCCATCCCTGGCAGTGTTCAAAGCCAGGTTGGACGAAGCCTTGGGTAAGATGGTTTAGTGTGAGGTGTCTCTGGCCATGGAAGGGGGCTTGGAACTAGATGATCTTAAGGTCCTTTCCACCTCTAACTATTCTATGATTCTGTGGTTATATACTGTTTCCTCCATTCTTCTGTTTTGTCTTTGTAGAGTAAAAGGTCTTTGCTGTATTAACTTTGGCCTGCAGATCTTCAGCCTGCTCTTTTCTGCCTATAAACAGGAATTGTTCCCTGAGCATTTTAAGTCAAGAGCCAGGTTTCCTGTGAATTTGTACCCAAAGCATGATGCTTCCTTTTTCTGTCCCTATACTGTATCAAGCTGCTATTTCACCTCAAAAATGCAAATGTGCATCTCCTGATGATGCAGGTGGTATCTTTCCTGTTTGCTGCTTGGTGTTACTAGTTGGCATTTAACGGTACAAGTGAATTTTCCAACATGCTGTATAATTCTGTGGCATATTTTCTGCACCTCCAGATCCAACTTCTGCCAGGATGGTGCACAAATGATATACTTGTGTAGATTTGAAAATGTTCACTGAATAACATAATTTTCTGGAATGGAATGAATGGAAATTAGTATCATTTCAGAAAGTAAGTAAAGTACTTAGAATCACCTGGAACCACAACCTTCAAGTAGTTTACTTAGGGTCTTTTGAGGAAGCAGCAGCTACTGCATGCAATTAAGGATCAGCAATAAAGGAACTAAAGGGTGCTTGCTTAGGATAGAAGAGTTCATTTTCTCACTGAACAGAGAGTAGCAGTGAGTAGGCTGCTTCTAGCTTATGCAGAGCAGCAATGGCTCATATTGTAAAACCAACAGGCATGAGGATGTGAGCATTTAATAGGGGAAAAAAAATAACAGGCATTTTCTTTACTCTTTCTCCTTCCTGGCTGAGTTCATTGACCACTGTCTGAAGAAAAGCTGTTTGAATTATTCTGGGTATAAAAATTAAATTAGTTTGATGTTGCTCTTCAGTAGTAGTTGATGTAAAGGAAGATTTCTGTGACCACAGTCACGAGTGGTATATATTTGTCTCATATGCAATGCTGGAAAATATTTCTAATATGTCTTGCTAAAAATGGGGAACATTAGAAGTAAAAGTTCAAGAAATGAAATTGGTTACAGAGAAACAATGGTTGAAACACTCTGAATTTAGGCTACTGTCCTAGAATGAGAGTGTTCTACCTTAAAATTCAGGTCTCTGACCCTTGATGGTAGAGAGAGCTGAAATCATTCCCATCTGACTAGTGGGATGTTTTCCAGAGCAGATACCTTTAAAGCTGATGGACCCTCAGTAAATGGAGGACAAAATGGGTTACAAGGTTAAACACGCATGCTAGAATGTTAAGCTTACAGCATTAGTCTGAAATATCAAACATAAATTTATAAGTAGTACTTTGAATGGAGCATTGAGAATACTAAATCATTATGACAGGTTACTTGGAGAATATTTGAGCTCCGTCCATTAAATAAATGACCTCTGTAAGTGGAAAGCAGGAGAAGAATCACATACAAGAAACCATGTATGCCATAATGTCCTTTTATTCTCTTAGCCTCTGGTTCCAAATTTGTTTATACCACAGAATCAAGAAAGATAATTCCTGGGAGGCTTTCAGAAAACACATTATAGTAGCAGCAGCAATTCTCTCTGGAACTGACCCTGTAGGTGTGTGTGCAGTGGATATGTCCACCTGCCTTACCTTGTTTTTATGGGCAAGTGACAATAGTAGAGGTATTGGTTTGGTTTCTTGGTGTGACCCACAGGATTGTGATCTTGAAGATTTGCTGGTAGGATGGCTCATGTGGCTGAAGATGAGGCTGCTGCTTGTGCATCTTGAAATGGAGCTGAGAAATTAAAATGGTGTCCTTCCAGCAACCAGGTCACCCTCCCTGCAGCACCAAGCTCCCGGCACCCCTCCTTTTGCATCCTGCATTATTTACTTTTTTTTCTCTCTTCTCTATGATTTATGTAGTCACCAGTTGGTTAATGTAGCATGTATTTGGATAGGTAAGCCTGCTACTTAAAGTATTGATTGTTTCCTGAACAAGCAAGGAACCAGGTGATGTTTCTCGCTAACTGTTCTTTAATAGTCAGTTCTCTATCTGGATGAGTTACGATGGAAAACTGATTCATTCACATTAGCTCACTTTTTTGCACAACTGATTTTTTTCTCTCCTGCCTCTCCAAGTTAGCACTATCATCTTTTCCCATTAATTGGGGCAGCTGGAAGAGCTGTAATAAACACACTTTCCCTTTCTTTGTGTTCACATCCTCAGCAGTGCAGAAATACCCTGTTGATTTCTCAAAAGAATGTAACATATTTGTGGAACTCTAGTTCAACATTTTTCCTAAAAGTGATGTTTTATCTGGATTTCCTTTAATTCCATACATTTGGTCTGCATCCCCCCAGGGAGTTGGCACAAGTGTGCGAGGTAGTCGAAGTGGCCTGCCTAGGGTGGCAGGATTGGAAGGAGAACAGGGATCGGAATAGAAGCAAAGAGCTTTTCATCTGAGTGGAGCAGAGGAGAGCCTTGCAGCAGCCACCCCACCATGCATATATATATATATATATATATATATATATATATATATTTATGAGATGCTCTTTGTTACTGTCTAAAGCACAAATGTGAATAAATAATTCTCTGGTGTTTCTTCAGGATTATCAACAATAATTTCCTGCTGCACAGTTGCCTCTCTGGGGCTACACGGTCTCTGCAGCCTAACTCTGCCCTCTAAAAAAGAATCAGTAAAGAAAGAAAAGCAGCTGCAGAAGTGCAGCTTTGGGCCCAGAACTGGCTACTAAGGGTGGTGCCTGGCTGTTCTCCCTCAGGAGAGGGCTTGATGGGGAACATTATGATCCCTCCCCTTATCCTCTCACTCTGTATAAAGGCCGAACAATAACAGGAATACTAACACTGCCCTGCTGTAACTTCTGTGCATATCTGTGTGCCTATCTCTGGCTGTACCGAATACTTTGTCTGTGATTAATGGCATTCCTTGCATAGAAACGTCTTCAAATCTCAGCCTCATTCTTGATTTAATTTTTTTATACTGATAAATACAGACATTATAAAAAGAAGTCCAGTGTGAGCACTGGGTATTTTTTCTTCTTCTCAGTGTTTATTATTCATGAATATGTTGCAACATCCAAAAATGCAATGGGTGACTCACAGAATGAGAAGAGGAAAAAGACAGCTTTTTAGGAGGATTCCTCAGCCGACTACAGAGTGTCCCAGTTAAGAAACCACTGTTAGACCATGTAAAACTCACCCAGTCCTTGCTTTTATGTCCTTTCTGCATGTATTTGAAACATAGTTGCACTTAGTATATATGTCTGTTTATTCATTTGCCCGATATTTTATTTTTCTGTTTTATATTTACAAGGATTAGAACATTCTGACATCAAAACCAAACCAAAACCCACAGAAAAACATGTTTACAAATACTTCTGGATTTTATTTTGTGTGTGTGTGTGTAAGAAAAAGAGCAAAGGCTAAGTTTACCACTACTGGCATAATAATGTCTCTAATAGTTTCAGACTGAGCTGCTATTCTTAAAAATTACCCTTGTAAGGGCTGTGCAGCACTGAAGGGAGTGTAATAGTGTGGGGGATCACACTGTGGTAGGGTGTCCAGTGCTGATCTACTTCAAGAATCAACATTGACTTTCTTTCTGGAAAGATTGTTTCTCATTCTTGGAAAACCCGAATTTTTCTTCATATGTATGGTTTTTAATTTTAGATATTAATTTCATTTCACACCTACTATCCCCTCAGCTTTGTGTCTTTGCTGCACAGTAACAGGAAACCTGTATTTGCTTAAAAAAACCACTTTGTTTTGAATGCAAATCCATAGAAATAGATGGGTGACCTAATACTTGTCTTTCAAAGCAGTTGCTCACCCAGGTGATCATTTCCTTTGTATCTTGCGTAAACTAACTGCAGTCTGTATAACCATGGATGATGTACAATCATATACAAGATATATAAAGTGCATTTTTAAACAGTTTTCAGGGCTGCTACACATTGTGTGAAAACTTGGGAAAAAACCATCATATTGCCGTGCCCTTGCTGGTTCTCTTGGGATATTCAGCAATCAGATGAGGTCATTTTGGCTTTGCTCATTGCAAATATGTTGTATTGAGGTGTTCTGTATATAAAACAGCATTGCCATTACAGTGTATAACTATACTTGGGCATTAATTAGAACCACACTGTCTTCTGCCTTGTTTCAGAAACTGTCTTTTCAAGCAGTAAGCTCTTATAGATGAGAAGAAATAATAAATCTAGAGTTACCCATTTTTTGGTATAAAATATATTTCTCTGCCCATTTACTTCCCATTAGTTGCCTTACTAGTTGTAGGGCCCATGCTGAAATGGGGTGTAGAGTGGTACTTAAAGGTGTAAGGGATGTTGGCCTTTTTGGATCAGTTTAATGACTGAATGAAGAACTGGGAAGTAGCAAATTATGAGTGAGCTGGGTTTCAGGATGCAGGAGCCTTAACTGTCTGTCTTAATGTGGTTAGTGATGACATTAGGTGAGGCACGATGACTTCTTTTGTCACTTGAGAAACCTGGGTAAAGTTGCATGTATTTTACAAATACTTGAAGATTACGGTTTAATTCTTTCTTTCTTGATTTTTTTGGGGGGTTCTAAAACTCACTGAGAGAAGTATGTGCTATAAATTTGTTGTGTCTCTATTTTGCTTTCTGTGTGTGACTGCCTCAGAGCTGTAGGTGTAAGAGTGTGACTTCTGTCACACTTACTGGCAGGTGTATTTATAGGATGCTAAATGACTTTCAGAGCACTTTCCAAAACAAATGGACAAGTAGCATCCAGAGGGAGGGTGGAACAGTTAGTTCAGCTCTGGAAGCTGTGAGTTAAGCAGCGCCTCTGTCCTTTCTCTCTGCCTGTAGCATCCCACAAGTAACTGCCTTGAGTTTAGTTTTTTTCCCCTTCAGCTATTGTGCAATCATGTGAGTTTTAGAGTGGAAATTTACCTTAGAGCTGGCCCCCTCTAGTAGTTCATTGCCACCCACAGAGGGAGGTCCTGTGTCCTTTGCTGGCAGCTCTTCTCATCAGTCTGTCTGAGCTGATTCAGTAGCAGAGAGTGCTCCCCACCCTCCCCAGTCAGCTTTGTGCTGCAGTAATGTGATTAATGGGATCAGTGGAAGGTTTAACCTGAGCCATGGACCAGAACTGGTGCGAGGACAGGATGGGGAAAGAAAAATGTGGTTGGGATTGTAGAGAAGTGTCAGAAATAAGATGAAGCCCACTGCTTCTGGCTGAGTGGATTAGAGATTATGTTGTGTTAGAGCTGTATTTGCTACCTGGCTTTCTGCAGTTCTTTCCCTCAGAAGCTTGCTTCCCAGTAGAAGGGAGGATATAACCACATTTTAAACCATTCTCAGAAGTACTAAGAATCATTACTTCTCAGCAGAGGCAAACCCATAACAAAAGGAGGAAGGAAGGGACTTAGAAAAGTGAGGAAAAGTGACTATATAAGTAGATATTCCTAGCGGCTTGTCATATCTGGGATGTGACCTAGGAATACCTTAGAAGTGATCCAAGAGAAGTTTGTGCAGGGCTGTACAAGGTCAGGGGTTTGGAACTGTGTGGGATGTTGCTGTTCTACTGGCAAAGGCAGCCCCCTTGCCAAATCTGCCTTCACTAGGAAACACTGGAGGCAAACTTGGGAGTGTAAAATGGATGAGGTTAAAGCTGCCTGGTGCTCAGTTGTGATGCATTTCATTTCCAACACCTGTCTCACTCCTTCTCTTCTCCTAGCAAGGCATAATTTCTGAAGGCTTGGGAGACCACAGGCTTGTGAAAGACTCTCTTGTGTATTTTGAAAGAAGACATTACTAACTGAAGGATTCCAGTTAAACGCAGGACAGTCGGGATACCTTCCCTCCCAGCTTTTGAAAAGAACAGTGTCCTGCTCATATGTGCTTTGTTTACTACCACCTTTCCTTTCCTACAGTTCAGCTCAAGTTCAGAAGACCATCAAGGTGGAAAAGTAGAATGGTCTGAATTTGTGATTAAGTTGTAAAATAACATAGTTACAAGAACTTTCCTACATCTGAAGTCCTATAGCAGACACTTCCTTTGGAGATAGGAGTAAGTTTCCTTATAATCTCCTAATGCAATTTCTCAGTATGTAAATGTTTAGGTCATTATGCATCTGGCAGTGTTAGAAACCCACAGTAGTTTTGCTCTGTGTTTTATCACAGCAGGAAGTGCCAGTCCATAAATCCGAAGTACCAGGAGAGTAATGCCATGATAGAGATATATTGTATTAAACTGCTTTAGCAGTGCTAATACTGTTTCTTGTTGTTGTAGACCAAGGAAAAGGAAGATGCAGGAGTTTGGGTGCCAGAAGGCTGCGTTAAGTGCTGTTCTTCCAAACACATATGGTGGGATCTTGGGCATGTCCATTGCTCCGGAGTTATTCCCTGCCATGCTTATCAATGGGATTCCTTCCTGTAGGGGTGACTAAGATTAAATATGTTGCAAAGCATAAGATACTGTGATCCTACAAAACCAAATCGGAAACTAATTTTCTTAAATCAGGCTTTTTATCTGCACTTGAGCCAGAGTTTGGTGAGGCCCCAAGCCTCTGCGAGTAGACAGTGCGGGACTGGACTCTCAGCAGGGTGGTAGGATCTCCTCTTGAAATAGTAGAGGGGAGTTACAGCATCTCAAGCTGCTTTAAGAATGGCACTGCAGGGTTCTACGTAAATAGGGGCTTGCTAGGCTTCTCGTGTGGTGACCTTGTGTGTAATATAGCAGGAAAATAAAAACACAAAGAGCTTTTAAATCTAAAGTTTCTCCTCCCTTTCATCAAAATAGTATTTTCTCCTCCCCAACCCCCATCCAAAAGTGAAAGCTGAACAGTCAAAACCCTCCCTTTTGCCCTCTTTTCACGAGACTAAAATGTGTGTTTTTAAGTGGGGCAGCATTACCTCCAGAGCGCATCTCTTTGGTCTCTCTTCATAGAATCACAGAATCATTTAGTTTGGAAAAGACCTTTAAGATTATCAACTCAAACCGTTACCACAGGACTGTGAAGTCCGCCACTAAGCCATGTCACCAAGGGCTTCATCTTCTTGGGTTTTGAACACTTTCAGGGCTGGTGATTCTACAGTTCCCTGGGAGGCCTGTGCTGATGCTTGATCACTCTTTTGGTGATGATTTTTTTCCTAATATCCAATCTAAACCTCCTCTGGTGCAGCTTGAGGCCATTACCTCTTGTCCTTGTTACTTGGGAGAAGAGACTGACTGCCACCTCACTACAACCTCCTTTCAGGTAACTGTAGAGTGATAAGGTCCCCCTGAGCCTTCTCTTCTCCAGACTAAACAACCCCAGCTCCCTCAGCCATTCCTCATAAAACTTGGGCCCTTCACCAGCTTTGTTGTGTCCTTGCATGACTTTGTAGCCTCATGCCATCCTTTGTTCTGGCAGGCTCCTGTGGACCCCTTCTTGTGCTTCCTGGGGAAGCATCCCATCCCATCCTATCCTATCCAATCCCACCCCACTCTTGTAGACCTGTAGCTTTAAAAGCAGGTTGAGAAGGAGGGACATCAATTACCAAACCAGGACATAAAGAGAGAATTGGTTCCCTCAGGGTCACACATGAGGCCAGCAGAGGTGGGAGCCACATCCAGGTGGTGTGCAGCCCACTTGGCTGCTCGGCTCCCCTTGGGATCTGAATAGGCATGTGTGTCTCTGGTGGCTGTGGCCAACAGCAACGTGGAAATTGTATTAGGCCTTATTTATTTATTTGTGCAGCCTTAACTTCCCCGCTGGCAGGTTCCACCTCTGCCGTGCTGTGTGGTTGCACAAATATTTGAGCTGGGAAGCAGGGGAGGGGAGAAGCTCCGTGCAAGGAATATGCCGCCAGGATGGAGTGGAGGGCTAAAGCTGTTTAAGTTGGCTCAAGTCGTGCTGTTGGTCAGTGTCTAGCTATGTCTTTTGGGCAAACGATGATCTAAGTTTCATAGAGATACTCATCCCAGCAGTGGGCAAGGTCACTTCTTCTTTAAGCCAAATTGTAATTAACAAGAAACCCAATACAGTTCCAGGGATGAAAATCCACCCACATCCTCTCTCCCTAAATATGTTTACATTTTACATATGCTTTTAAATACTGCTTCCAGATTTAGCTTAGAAACGGACAAATGTTTGCATAGCCTGTGCTCATACATCACTACCTAATGATTTTTTGATTGAGTTCATTGCCTGGGTAAGACTTCGGTTTTTTCCCCTGTAAAACATAACTATTAGACTTTTTTAATAATGAAAATGGCATTGTCCCTGTGCCAATGTCACAGTTTCCTTGTAACTGCTGGGCACCTGGGTCAGATTTCTCCTCTCCATGCCCCATGATTTCTAAAGGGTTTTACAGCACAATAAACAAATACTTTTAGATGTAAGATTGGATTAGAATGTAGTTGTTGGAGGGAGGGGAAAACACATCTGTTGCGAGAGGTGGAAAATACATAGACTAAAATAACACTGCAGTGTTTCCTCCATGTGGTCTTTTTTCAGCTGAGAAATACAAATGAAGACATATTTTGAGAGAGCACTGTGGCAAAGCTAAAGCTACTTTAGTAGTGATTTAACTGATAGGTTTTTACTCAGTAAGTCTTAAAAAACTGCTGCAGCTGCTTTTTTTTTCTCCAGAACTTCTGCTAAAGCTGGCAGGCTGCAAGGTGACATGATAAAATCATAGAATCACAGAATGGTTTGGGTTGAAGGGTCATTAAGTATCATCTGGTTCCCTGCCATGAGCAGAGACACCTTCCACTAGACCAGGTTGCTCCAAGCCCCATCCAGCCTGGCCTTGAACACTGCCAGGGATGGGGCAGCCACAGCTTCTCTGGGCAACCTGTGCCAGTGCCTCACCACCCTCACAGGGAAGAATTTCTTCCTAGTATCTCATCTAAATCTACCCTCTTTCAGTTTAAAGCCATTCCCCCTTGTCCTGTCTCTACATGCCCTTGTAAAAAGTCCCTCTCCAGATTTCTTGTAGGCCCCCTTTAGGTACAGAAAGCTGTGCAAGGATCTTGTGGAGCCTTCTCGAACAAGCCCAGCTCTCAGCTTATCTCCATAGGAGAGGTGCTCCAGCCCTCTGAGCATTTCCTTGCTCAAGGTGGAACTCTCTCAAGCAGGTTCATATCTGTCTTGTAATATAAATACATCTAATAAAATAATACCTGGATAACTGCTCTTTAAACAATAAACTGGGAGCCAGTTTTGCCTCTGAGTGCCTTGCAGGTGTCAACAGGGACTGAATTACTTAGAAGTAAAACCAAAATTTTCTTCTTGGTTGTTAAGCAGTAGTTGGAGGTACTGATGTCTGTAAACCAGTGAGTTTTGCTCAGCGAACTCCTGTTCAATTATTACTGGGAAGGTTAATGACAGCTGCCCTTAATCATATTTGGAATGATTTCAATGTGTTGGCTGGAAGTAGCTTCAGGTTTTTACTCACATCTTTCCTGCCCATTGCAACATCTCTGCTGCTTTCTTTCCATTGCTGCCTCTCAGCTCCTTGCCCTGCAGTTGTACCTTGCCAGCATGGGCTCAGGTCTTTGTGGCCTGCCTTTCCTTGTGGCCAGCGTGTGCTGTGGACTCTGTCCTTCGGGAAATTCACAGAAAACGAATGGGTGTACCAGCCTGCACGCAGAGCCTGTGCTTCCTTCCCACCAAACCCAGGTCGCTCCTCACCTTCTGCGCCGTGTTTTCCGAGGTTAAGTTCCTGTCAGGCCTTGTGGTGTGCCCAAGGAGTTCGTGGAGCCCATTTGAAGCAGTCACATTGCCTTTGTCTGTGCGCTGGGTGGCTTTCAGTGTCTTCTTTATTAGGCACCAAGGTTCGTTTAAAGAACTTAAGAAGCATTCTGGAAATTTACTGGAAATTAACTGGGGATCCTCGAGCAACCTGTTGGGTGTGTGCCAGTGCTTCACTGAACCCTGCACATTAACCAAATTTTCCTGACCGATTTGGGCCCTCCTAAGTTTCGCTTTCTCCTGGCGTTAACCAGTTTAGCAGGGTGGCACTGGCAGAAAATCCTACATGTTCCACAGAGACGCGCTTGTTTGTTACTTGTGAGGAGTGGGGCGGGATGTCACCTGAGGGCTCTACGCGAGGTGTGGGCGCTCAGAGGCGGGCTGCCGCAGCGGCCGGGCCGACGGAGCCGATGCCGTGAGCCCACCGCCGGTGTAAGCTGTGAGGGGAACCTCGCAGGGCAGCGGCCCGCACACGACGGGTGGTGAAGCGGGGCCGCCGCGTGTCCCCTCAGCACAGCCCGAGGCGGGAGCGGGGCCGCCGCCACCTGCGGGCCGGGCCCGGGGGAGCGCTGGTCGCCGCCCGGGGCGTGTCGTGCCGAGCCGCGCCGAGCTGCCCGGCCCCGCGGTGACTCACCGGCCGGGGCCCGGGCACCACTTCCCCCCCTCGGCAGGAGCCATTTTAACTGCACGAAACTGCGGGGAGGCCGGGGCGGCGGCGCAGGCCCCGCGGTGAGGTGGTACGTGCTCCCCGGGGACAGAAGGGCGACGGGCGGGCGGATGGGGGATGCTGCTTCATGGGGCTGCTGGCCTCCGCCACCTCTGCGTGCTGCCCGCGCCTGGAGCGGCTCTCCTCGGCTGTCTGGGGAGGGCTGGAGGGGGAAAGGGAACTTCTGGTAAAGTGCAGCACCAGGGCGCGCTGGGCAAAAACTAATACAAACTGAGCCGCGAGTTAACAGCGATGTGTGGAGCGGGAGCGCCCTGAGTGCCCGTGTGTCGGCCCGGGCAAAGGGCGCTGTGTGTACAGCGTCTATGTGTTACAGCTGAGTTCGCTGTGTTTTACAGTTGCGTCGCCTTCGAAGCTGTGGCGGTGTCAGGCAGGCTGCTGAGCGGACCCCTTGGGCAACCCAGTCTATACATTAGGCCGAGTCTATTCTGTAACTACATTTACCTGGACCCTGTTAGCATGTAGGCATGCGAATTGGACAAAGTGTTAATAATGAGCGCTGCCGCTCTGAGCACCTTTGCACCAGCGTTTGCCCACTGTGGTCCGGAGCGATGTTAAAATGGCAGGTTTGTTGTTTCGAAGTTGGGTCGCTCTCTACGCCTGCAGCCTTATTGGGGTTCCAGGCTTTCTCAGTGGTGTCGTTCTGAAATAGAGGGAGTTAAACGGCACAAAAAAAAAAAAAATGGGGCAGGTGCTCACCGTTTCCTTGAAATGATTGTGAAACAGTGGTCATGGGCATGGCGTGCATGGCAGAGGGACAGACCAATTATAAAATGGGCTTAGTGGTAGGTGTAATGGGAGAAGATGATCCTGGAGGTAATTGCGGTGTGTCAGATTGCTTTTTAAACTTCCAGTGGATGAAAAGCCACCTTGATTCTCCTAATTATGAACTTCTGAACTCTAGCACAGTATTTTGGAAAAGAATGAATATTTCTGCCTTGTTTATAGTTGAACAGAAATGCAGGCTACTATCATTAGAACTTTTGTCTGAGTATGTAACTTTGGATCCTTTATTTCAGTCTTCCAGTTGAGAAATAAAGTTGAATATCTTCTTGCTGAAAATGAAAGGTCAGGGAGTTCGAAGTGTTGCACACAGGGCAATAGTTTCCAGTTTCTATTGCTGTATGGAGCCTATATCTGAGAAGTACAATGGAGTCTTGCTTAAAACTATGATCGGTGACAGGGAAAGGAGAGTGGGAGGCAACCATTAAGTGAGTGGTCATGTTCTGGGTCAGGCCATCTCCTGTCTTCAGCCCTTCCAGTGTTCACCCTTATCTTCCTTCTGCATTGTACAGTACGTTGTGTGCTTTTACCATATTTTGATTTTGTGATTTGCCTTTTTTCTTTCTAAAAGCCACAGTTTTTGGGAGATTTGTTTGGTGCATTGTTCCGTGTTGAAAAATCCACAGGCAAAATGATAAAAATACAGAGGAAACACTCAGAAAAAAACCCACCCACCATTAAAGAAGAAAAAAAAAAACCCAGTTTGAGTTAATGATTGAAGTTTTTTTATTGAAAAATCCTGTAATATATTTGCATCTTCTTTTTTTTTTATCATGAGTTTTATTTTCAGATCACAGGGCTGTGGCAACAGCTGTGTTTGCAACTGACAGAGTGCGAGCCTCCCTTCCCTTCCCTCTCCTCTCCTTCTTTCTGCTGGGCCCTGTTAAGACATCCAGCCTTAAAAGCTGTAGTTATCCTAAGTCGGCTTCCAGGCTGCAGCTGCTTATCTGGGGTAGAACACTTTTTGTGTGCTAAAGGGTAAGTAGCTGCTGCTGCTTTCTCTTGAGCAGGGCTTCTCGGGGGAGCAGTTCCTCTTTGAAGGCAAAGCTGCCGTATTCAGGCTCTCGTGCTGCTGCACAAGGTCTATGCCAGGGCTACAAAAGCATCTGGGTGCACCGGTGGAGCTAGGAAAAAATGATTTGAAAGTCCTCCAAGCCTGACAGATGACAGCTTGGACAGATCCTCTAGAAGGCAGGGAAGTGGATTAGAAGGTACAGAGAAATGGCGTTTGTTTTTGTTGATTTTTATAGGCAAAGCCTGTGTTTGTCTCAAAAAAAAAAAAACCAACAAAAAAAACCCAAACATTTTCTCCCCCTCGCCCCCAGCAAGGATCTTTCAGTTTGGATCGAGTTTGTGGTTGTTGAGAGATGAGCCATGGGAGTGGTATCATTAGATGCCAGTTAGCTTGAACATTATTTCCAGACCCATGCTTTTACAAGAAGTGCTTGTTTTCTAATGTGCTCTTTTTTTTTTTTTTTAAGTCTGTTGAACATTAGAATTTCCAAGTCCATGGTCTTGGCACTCAAATGAGAAGAAAAAAAAAACAACCCAAGAAGTAAATGTCCAGATTTGAAGAATGTTGTTGGCCTGGTATAGCCTGATGTTTCAGTATTGCTGCGAGGTCATACTTCAGTAGCATGTGTTACTCCTCAGATACTCCTGCATATGAAAAGAACACCACCACGAGGTGGATGTGCATACCCTTTTCAGCACAGCTGTATTCAAGGGAAGGGATACAGTAGGGCTGTGTCAGGTGAGCTGATAGAATGGATGTTGTAAGGAAAACGTCGGATTTCCCTGCGTATTGGAAGGGCAGCTTTGACCTCCAGAACAACTTTCACTTCTTGCAAGTGTTAGCAGAAGTTTCTCGGCTTTCTCTGGCAGATTTTGTTGTTTTCACTGACAGTTTTGGTAACTCGCTGGAGTTGTGTTGGGTGTGCGAGGAGCAGCAAGATCTTTCCCCCACCGGGGGTGATTCAGCACAGGAGTGGCAGGAGGTGGAGTTCACATTTCCAGCCTTGGTTACGATCTGCTCTATAAAAGCTGAAACTTTGCTACCATAGGCCAGTGATTTGTTGTGCTTACTGTTTTAATGCCACTGATGTGCTTTAGAGATTATTTGCTTCCTTAAATCTGACTTAAGTGTTGTTTCATTAAATCTTACTTAAATGTTCCTTCACAGATAAAGTAGTTGCTGGAGACTACGCATGGTGAAATTTTGGAGTCTTTTGCTTATCAAAAGTCCGCAGCAGCTACTGGAAAGGCTCTAGACATTCTCACTCTAATCTGTGTAGAGGTAAAAACAATTTATTCTTCAGTATGGGCCTGTCCTGCAGCAAAGATTCCCACTGTGTCAGCCTTTGTGCTAAAAGGATCCCATTAGATAGGGACTGAAGTTTATGCATTCCTACCTTGATGTGCTTTAGGCCTTAACTACCTACCAGCTATCTTTAGTGATGAATCGGTTGGCTAAAGCTCAGGTCTTTTATTTGTCTTTAAAGAGATCCCTCATCTTGGGTCACATGTGACTTTGTACTAGGTTCAGGTTTGAATGTGAAAATTATAGCCTCCAGTTTCTTAAACTTGCATGTGAAAATCACTTTGTTCTGTACCAGGGGAAAAATATTACAGTTAAGATAGTCTGCTACGAATTCAAATACTAACTATATAGGTTGGGAACTGTGGGAAAGGGTTGTTTTCTAGATGGATTGAATGTCAGTGTCTGCTTCTATAATTAGGCATTTTAGTCTATTTCTAGAACACCCTGTATTTAACTCATCACCAACATTTCTGTGTGAATATATGGAATATATCTTTCGTGTTGAGGGGGTTGTTTTGTACTTGTTGAAGTGTTACCGGTGGTGCACTAATGGTCTCATCGCTTCACTTGAGAGCATCTTCTGCATTTGCTTCGCTTGCCGCCTTGTGTTGTAGTGGTTTGACTGCTTCAGTGGGCTTGATATAAATGTCATCCCACACGAGACTGAGTGTCAGAACTGAAAGAAAAGGGTGGGCTTAGTTGATTCAAATTATTGTCTGCCATTGGGAGATAAAATATGTCAATGTATATTGGGGCTGATATACTGTTTGTCATGCTGTGTGTTCCTCTAGAGTCACTTGTGTTTTTCATGGGATCTTCTGACAGGTTTAATAAAGCTGACAGATTAGGAGAAATCTACCTTGCTTTTATGAGCTTTGTGTCAAGTCACTTCTGCTGTTCTTCAGTTCCTGGCCATCTCAGTGTTTGTTCAGTTTTATATTGCAGCTAGGGAAAGAAGCAGCAAAATGCGATTGTGAAACTACGGCTTGTAATACCCAGGGCTGACTGCTGACAGAAAATTAATGTTTAACATGCCGTTCCAACCAGCCTCAATTTCAAGTTAAAAGCAAGTTGACAAGAACACTGCTAGTTTTCGCCTTTTTGTGTGTGCTGCTTGTGCTGCATTAGATAATTTTGGAGCTAACAAGAATAGTTTCCCAAGGATGTGATAGCGTGGTTTGTTTTTAGTGGAGGCTGTCCTTCCGACCAGATGACCCTCTCTAGAAAGAGCTTTCATGAAAACTGTATCTTGAAGGCACCAGGGCTTGCACAGTGTCTGCTGAAGGCACAGTTTAGCCTAACATTGTCCTTGGAGGTGGTGGTTATCCACTGCCATTCTTTGGTATGTTTGCTGGCTTGTGCTGTTATTTTCCCTCCCTTTGCAGAGCCTCTGTAAACTACTTACTCTCTGTAGCTGTTCAAGCTTTGTCACAGTGAAGAAAATAGTTATGAAGCTTGCATGCTATGGAGTGCAAAGGGTGGCAAACGTGCACTAATGGCAA